TGTATATAATAGATCAACAATAGAAAACATAAATTGTGATATTTTCAGATAATGTAACATTTACAGTAGTGAAAATAAATGAGCTACTATAAAATTCATCATCTTGGATAAATGCCAAAGTAAAATGTTAGCAAAAGAAGCACATCACAGAAGAATTCATACGTTAGATTATGTTCATGTTAAAGTTCAAAAACAGGAAAGAATAACCTAAGTACAATTGTTTAGGGATACATATGTGATGAAATTATAAAGAAAAGAAATAAACGAAAGTAAAATTTTTACCTCTAAGAGGAGGGAGATGGGTATAATTAAAAAGGGACTTCAAAGATACTGGTGGTATTCCATTTCTGTTTATTTATAAATTTTATTTAGATATGATTGACATATAATACTGTATCAATGTTAGATGTACAACATAATGATTTGGTATCTCTATATATTGTGAAATGATCACCAGAATAAGTCTAGTTAAAACCCATCACCATACATTATTAGAATTTTTTTTCTTGTGATAAAAACTTTTAAGATTTACTTTCTTAGGAAGTTTCAAATATATAATACAGTCTTATTAACTGTAGTCACTGTGCTGTACTTTACATCCCCCTGACTTTATAGCTGGAAGCTTATACTTTTTAACCCGCTTCCCACATTTCACTGAACCTCCTACCCCAGCACCTCTGACAGCACTAATCTGTTCTCTGTATGCATACGCTTAGATTTCTTTTTGGTTTTTGTTGTTGTTGTGTTTTGTTTAGACTCCACGTGTAAGTGAGACTGTATGGTATTTATCTTTCTCTCCCTTAGTTCAGTAAGCATTATGTCCTCAAGTTCCATCCATGTTGCAAATGGCCAGGTTTTATTCATTTTCATGACTGGATATATTGTGTATATATACCACATTTTCTTTATTCATCCATCAACGGATACTTGGATCGCTTCCGTACTTGGTTATTGTAAATAATGCTGCAGTGAACGTGGAGCTACATATATCTTTTCAAGTTAGTATATTTGTTTTCTTCAGTTAAATACCAAGAAGTGAAATTGCTGGATCGTGTGGTAGTTCTATTTTTAATTTTTTTCTGGGCCCTCCATACGGTTCTCCACAGTGGCTGCACCAATTTACATTCCCACCAACAGTGCCCAAGGGTTTTCTTTTCTCTACATCCTCGTCAACACTTGTTACTTCTTTTCTTTTTGATAATAGCCATGCTTATAGGTGTGATGTGATATCTCATTGTGGTTTTGATTTTCATTTCCCTGATGATTGGTGATACTGAGCACCTTTTCTTGTACCTGTTGGCCATCCATATGTCTTCGTTGGAAAAAGATCTATTCAGATTCTCTGCTCATATTTTAATCAGATTATTCTTTGCTGTTAAGTTGTGTGAGTTCTTTATATATTTTGGATATTAACCCCTTACTGCATATGATTTGCAAATATTTTCTTCCATAGGTTGTCTTTTCATTTTGTTAGTGGTTTTGCTTTGGTGTGCAGAAGCTTTTTTTTTGAAGTTTTTTCTTTTTTAAAATTTATTTATTTATTTATTTATTTTTGGCTGTGTTGGGTCTTTGTTTCTGTGCGAGGGCTTTCTCTAGTTGTGGCAAGCGGGGGCCACTCTTCATCGCAGTGCGCGGGCCTCTCACTATCACGGCCTCTCGTTGCGGAGCGCAGGCTCCAGACGCGCAGGCTCAGTAGTTGTGGTTCATGGGCCTGGTTGCTCCGCGGCATATGGGATCTTCCTGGACCAGAGCTTGAACCTGTGTCCCCTGCATTGGCAGGTAGATGTTTAACCACTGTGCCACCAGGGAAGCCCTGTGCAGAAGCTTTTTAGTTTGATGTAGTCCCACTAGTTTGTTTTTTACTTTTGTTGCCTTTGCTTTTGGTGTCAAATCCAAAAACTCATCACTAAGACTGATGTCAAGGAGCTTAACACTTGTGTTTTCTTCTAGGAGTTTTATGGTATTAGGTCTTATGTTCAAATCTTTGATCCACTTGAGTTAATTTTTGTGTATGCTGTAAGATAATGGTCCACTTTTCATTCTTGCTCATGTGGCTGTATGTCTGGTTTTCCCAACACTGTTTATTGAAGAGACTATCCTTTCCCCATTGTGTATTCTTGGCTCTGTTGTCATAAATTAATTGACTGTATATTTATGGGTTTCTTTCTGGGCTTTTTATTCTGTTTTGTTGATCTGTGTGTTTTTGTTTTTCTAGGTTTGTAGTATAGTTTGAAATTGGGGCATATGATGCCTCCAGCTCTGTTTCTTCTCAAGATTGCTTTGGCTGTTCTGGGTCTTTTATGATTCCACACAAATTTTTAGGACTCTTCTATTTCTGTGAAAAATGCTGTTGGAATTTTGATAGGGATTGTATTGAACCTTTATACTGCTTTGAGTACTATGGACATTTTAACAATATTCTTCTAATCCATGAGTATGGAATAGCCTTCCATTTATTGTGTCTTCTTTAATATTTTCCATCAATAAATTATAGTTTCTAGGTCTTAAACCTCTTGGTTAAATTTTTTCCTAGGTGTTATTTTATTCTTTTTGTTGCAATGGTAAATGAATTGTTTCTTAATTTCTCTTTCTGATAGTTTGCTATTAGTGTATGGAAGCACTACACCTGATTTTTGTGTATTGATTTTGTATCCTGGAACTTGTTTATTAGTTCTGACAGTGTTTAGTCTAAAATTCTTTAGGATTTTCTGTGTATAATATCATATCATCTGCAAATAGTGAAAATTTTACTTCTTCCTCTCCAACTTGGGTGCCTTTTATTTCTTCTTCCTGTCTAATTTCTATTTTTTAAAATTTGGTTATATACAGTGTTTGTCTTAGTAGTAGCCTTTAACAGTTGGAAATAAGTTCACGGTAATTTTGTATGCCTTACTCCAGCCCCTATGCAATTAAAAATTTTTAAAATACTGTGGTTTACTAACTAAAAGTTAACAATTTAAGAAGAATTTGTAAGAATGAGCAGTCAGTGGGTAAAATATTTTTAAAGCCTAGAAAGATTTTTGGTGTGTATTTTGTTTCCTCTTTTCCCCCCTTTTATTATTTAGGGGCCTAGAATTTGAAGTTTTGTAAGCAGTAAGCTCAGAGCAATGCAATGAAATTTGGTGGAGTTAGTGACAGGATCTTAGTAAGTGGGATAGCAAAGCATAGTAGAACTTCAGAGCCACATTTATTGATAATGATTCCTTTTCTTTATCTCAAGATAATATAGCTCTAACTCTTTATGTTGTAGGGGGTTTGGAGACACATTTATCCTCCTAGGGAAAAAGCTTGAGACAGAAACAACTGGGAAGTTTCCATTTTTTGATCATTCTTCGCATATATTCCTCTTGTGGATCACATGAATAACCTTTAACAGGCTGAGTCCCAGTTTTTTTTAATTTTAATTGCGATAATTGTAGGTTCCATGCAGTTGTGAGAAATAATACGTAAAAATGTCATTTACCCTTTATCTGGTTTTTTCCAATGGTAACATTTTGTAAACATATAGTATAATATTATAAATAGGACATAGACATTGATACAATCATGTGTATCTGTTTTACCTGTTTCATTTGTGTACCTATGGATTAGTTCTGTACTCTTTTATCACATGTATAGGTTGTGTGTCCACCACCAGTCAAGATACTGAAAAATTTCATCACTGCAAGGGTCCTTTCTGTTGCTCTTTTATAACCACACCTACCTCCTTCCTACCTTACTCCCCGCATCAAACTCCCATCCCCTTCTCCAGTCCCTAAACGCTGGCAACCAGTAAGCTGTTCTCCATTTCTAAACTTTTGTCATTTCAAAAATGTTATATCGGGCTTCCCTGATGGCTCAGTGGTTAAGAATCTTCCTGCCAATGCAGGGGACATCGATTCAAGCCCTGGTCTGGGAAGATCCCACATGCCACGGAGCAGTTAAGCCCGTGTGCCACAACTACTGAGCCTGCACTCTAGAGCCCGTGCGCCACAACTACTGAGCCTGCGCTCTAGAGCCCACGAGCCACAACTTCTGAGCCCGCGTGCCTAGAGCCCATGCTCCGCAACAAGAGAAGCCACCGCAATGAGAAGCCTGCGCACCGCAACGAAGAGTAGCCTCCTCTCACCGCAACTAGAGGAAGCCCGTGCGTGGCAACGAAGACACACACAGCCAACAATAAAATAAATAAAATAAAATAAAGTTATTTTAAAAATGTTACATGAATGAAATCATATGGTATGTAACCTTTTGGGATAGGCGCTTTTTCACTCAGCTTAATTCCATAAAGATTCATCCAAGTTGTGCATGTTAATGAGTCCCATTTTTAAATTTAGCTGAAGAATGTTTTATGGAATTTTTAGACTGTGAACTCACTTTGTAAATATCAGTTTCTCTTCAATTAATGTATACTATGAGTAGTGGATAAAAGCATAGATTTTAAAGTGCAATAGACTTGTGACTTAAGTCTCATGTCTACTTTGGAAAAATTATTTTAACCTTGCTAAGCCTTAATTTCCTTACATGTAAAATGAGGATAATAATACCATTTCTTAGGGTATTTAAAGAATAAATGAGTTAACATATGTAGTGGTCTTAGCATCATGCCTGTCACGTAAGTGTTCTATAAATGGCAGTCTAAAAGAAAGACAGAGTTACTACAGCAGTATTATTACAGCCTGTGATTTCTAGGTTAATCTTGGAAGAAGCTGCCTTAGCATTCCAATGACTATTTGGATTTTATATATGTTTAGTCAAGGGAGAAAGCATTCAATAGCTTTCTTTTTGACCACTGAACAAGAATGTTTAGTTCTTCAGAATGGGTATATCTGATCCTTCTGTTGCTTTTTATTTAATTGGCCATTGTAAAAAAGTGACTGCTTTAAATGTTACATATCTTAATCAGCAAATACTAACTAAGTTGAATGCATAATTTAGCTTTTTATGTAACAGTACAGATTTGTTAAGATTGAAACATGAGTAGTTTACATCTTTTCAATTATATACATGTTTCCCCCTAGGTCACTGGTGTCTTGGATGACTGCTTGTGTGATGTTGATAGCATCGATAACTTCAACACCTTCAAAATCTTCCCCAAAATAAAAAAGCTGCAAGAACGAGACTATTTCCGTTATTACAAGGTATGGTTATAATTTCAGATTCCGTTGGTGCTGAAGATTTTTACATAGCTCTCTACAGGTGCGACTCTTGCGATTCTTTTGGAAACCCATTTCTACTCGGCACCCTGTGTGCATCCTTTATCATTGGAATGTATTAAGTATTTCAGTGAAAACCTATTAGTCTTTTTGAACCCTAAGAATCTGAACTCCCTTCCTATGTTTGGGGAATTTCTCATTGTTCAATTTGGGTTTTGAGGCAGAGACTCCTTCCTCTAAAGAAGTTGAAAATGCCCAGGACTTATTTTATCAGTCTCCCTTGTAACTTAGGTTCTGTTATCTAGACACACCTACCCAGGCTCTGAGTTGTGCTGATGGCATTGTCGTGTGCTGTCATTGTTAGTGGTACACGGTTCCACAGCAGCATTTGTTGGGTAGCTCATTGTGACAGGTGGCAAAGCAGCCTGAGGATAGAAGCAGAACACCATCCATAGTAAGACTGCAGCATTGGTTCTTAAGTCTAACAATAGTCCACGCTGGACCGTTTCAGAATAACCAATGGTAGTTTAAAGGCAGTAGCAATAACACAAATTCAAAAGAACAATGGTTTAAAAGCTGCTGTTGTGTTCTTGCTCTCAGTATTTGGTTGGGTTTATAATTTTTATTTTCATTTTTAGTTTATTTTAAAAAGTAAGCATGATTTTCTTTTTTATCCTGTTACTGTATAGGTTATCTTAATCCTTTAAATATATTTTATACATTTATTTATGTATTTATTTTTGGCCACGTTGGGTCTTCGTTGCTGTGTGTGGGCTTTCTCTAGTTGCTGTGAGCAGGGGCTACTCTTCGTTGCGGTGCACAGGCTTCTTATTGCGGTGGCTTCTCTCTGTGGAGCATGGGCTCTAGGCGCACGGACTTCACTAGTTGTGGCACTTGGGCTCAGTAGTTGTGGCTTGTGGGCTCAGTAGTTGTGGCTCACGGGCTCTAGAGCGCAGGCTCAGTAGTTGTGGCGCATGGGCTTAGTTGCTCCTCGGCATGTGGGATCTTCCCAGGTCAAGGATCAAATCCATGTCCCCTGCATTGGCAGGTGGATTCTTAACCACTGTGCCACCAGGGAAGTCCCCAGTCCTTTAAATATTTTTGAAGTTTAAAAAATAAAACTTCCCAAATAATGTAAGTTGTGCAGAAAGATAACAAAGTTAAGACCTAAAGATTTGGGAACCCATCCCCTTTTCCCATCAGCCCCAAGAATATACAAAAAAGTGAATGTTTCTCCTCTATACAAAATCCTTTAGGAATACAGTTGCCATAAACTTATTTCAAAAAGAAATCTATACCTAAGCAAATTATTGTCTAACATTCTAGACATTTTACCTATAAACAACACAGGTTCCAATAGCTTCTTCAGATTCCCACTCCTATGTCTATAAGTCTCTCTGCATTTGTGACTGCTTTCTCTTGCTTCCTTTCTACTGCTAGGCTTAACCATATGAAATAGTTGCTTTTAGAGATCAGAATGGTTGAATGTTGCCAGTTTCATATGGTTCAGTCTAATACAGTGAAGGAAGTGTTCCTTCTATCAAAGACCATCCCTTCACAGAACATCCAGATCACATGTCCACTCAATATGTCATGGCCCTCACTCTTTCACACTTACCTTTTGGGATTATACCTTCTGTTTCTGTATCCCCATAGATCTGGTCAATAGTAGGCACTCAAATATTTGAATAAATGAATGAATATCTCATTGAATCTTTATACTGAAATCCTGTTAAGTCAACATTATCCACATTTTCAAGAGAATAAACAATGGTGTAGGTATCCTAAGGTAGGGTACTTTTGTTGGCTTACAAATGAAAGAGAAGTTTTATTAAGAAAAGGTGTGGAGCAGCTCACAAAATTGAAAGATAAGCTGAAGAAGCATATTTCAGAAAAGACAGAAATTATAGCAGAAACTAATGGCCATTCTCTTTATGATACTGCCAAAATTTTGGATCAAATTAACCATTTTCCCATATTTTAATATTACACAAGAGTCATATTTCTGGGAGAGAGGGTCTAAATTGGTCTAGGCAGGGTGATAATAACCCCACCACTTGACCAAAGGACAATTTGGTTAATAGTCCTATTTGTATTTGCATATTGTTTCTCCAAGGGAAATTAGGGGATGTTACAGAAGGAGGAAAAATGAAAGTTGAGTAGGCAGAAATAACAATGTGGTCATTGGCTAGCCAACATACAGTTCATCGTCATACATGCAATTTAAAAAATGTTCCAACCAACATAATGAAACTACTGTGTATGTAACCGGAATATATTCGTACCCTTTCCCAAAGGAGGGTAATGCAATGATCTAGTTAATCCAGTTAGCTTCAAGTCTAGGATATGTGGGTGCTATCTACTCTTCTTGTAGTTCTGTCAACCTATGAATTAAAAAAAAAAAAAAAGGAAATTTGACGTAGAGTACATTAGTGGTGGAAGAGGAAAGCTAAGAGAAGAGGTTAATTTTAAACACACATACATGCTTATGATTCAGCAAGCAAGGAAATACAGGTAGAAGTAACAGTCTACCTCTATCAACCGGTCACTTGGCTGCTATAGCTTGTTTTTATATTTTCTCTCTTCTACTATCCGTTACATTCCTTTATTTGCCAAGTATTTATCGAATAATTACTCTGTAGCAGAGTGTATTCTAGGTGCTGTGGATACAATAGTGAATAAAACAAAGCCTCTCACCTTATGAAACTTTTTATATGATTAGGGAGACAGACAATAAACAAGTAATAAAATAGCGTTTACTTTATAATCATAGGAAATTACATAGAGAAAAATAAAATTGGAGATAAAGGATAATGGGAATGGGGAAGGTAGGTAGCCCTATTTTAAAGAAGGTGGTCAGGAAAGGAAGACATTCCTGCTGTGCCATTTGAGCAAAGACCTACCTAATGTGAAAGAGTCACCCGTGACACAATCTGGAAAGAACATTCCAGGGAAGGGGAGTTGAACTGCAGGTATAAAGGTGCAGAGTGTTTGAAGACCAATATAGCTGGAGGAAAGTGAATGAGGGGGAGAGTTGGAGAGGTAGGTAGGGGCCAGATTTTTTTTTAAAAAAGGGGAATTCCCTGGTGGTCCAGTGGTTTGGACTCCGCACTCTCCCTGCCAAGGGCTGGGTTTGATCCCTGGTCGGGGAGCTAAGATCCCACAAGCCACTTGGGGTGGCTAAAAACAAACAAGAAAACCCCTATGCTTTCATCTAAGCATTTAAATCAAAATTTGAGAATTAAACAATGACTTAAGGCCCTGTAGTTTTGGGGTTTTTTTTAAACCACAGTAAGGCTTTTGGATCCAAAGTGTGATAAGAAGCTATTGGTGGAATTTGTACAAAAGAGACTGTATGGGTGTGAGGCAGGAAACAGAGAAAGCACTTCTGAGGCTATTGCAGTAGTCCAGCTGAAAGATGATATGGATTTGGAATAGGCTGGTAGAGTTGGAAAAGGGGAAAAATGATCGAATTAGTGCCATATATGAAAGGTAACACAGCAAGCTCTTCTGATGGATTGAATGTAAGGTGTGAGGGTAAAAGTGAACTCAAAGATGATGCCTAAGTTTTGAGCATGTTACCAAAAGTAAAATATATATATCATGGCCAAGTGGATTTCATTCCAAGAATGTAAAGATGAGGCTTTTAGGTCTTCAACAAGATTCAGTACACATTCCTGATTTTTTAAAACGTTGACAAAGTAAGAATGACGGATACTTCCTTAACATGATAATTTCAACCCTAACATCAGCACTGCCAGCACCTTACTTCTGGGGAAACACTAGAGCAATTCTCCCTTAGGTCAGGAACCATGAGGAGGGGCTACCTACTATCTCCTTTACTGTTGGACCAAATTGGCCAGTATAGTCAAACAAGAAAAAACAACTAGAAGCATAAAAATTTTAAAAGAATAAATAAAGCTATCTCCATTTATAAATGACAAAGACCTAGAAAACTCTAAATTATTAAATGAACACAAATAATAAAAAATGTATTAAGATAGCAGGTTATAAATTTAATATTGAAAAATCAGTATCTGCATAAATACAAACAATAACAAGTTAGAAGATAAAATGGAGAAATCCCCATTTCCATTAGCAAAAAAAAGATAAAATATATAGGAATAAATGTTATCAAGAAATGTGCAAAATCGAAGAATGCTTCTAAACACTCCTGAAAGACATAAAACTAGGCTCGAACAAATGGACAGATGTCTTTCGTAGCATAAAGATGTTAATTCTCCCCCAAGTTAATATATAAATTTAATGTGAACCCAATAAAAATATATGTAGTTTTTTTCTGGAGCCGGACAAGTTGTCACAGGTTAAGTTCCCTGGGAAGCTGACTCTGAGACAGTGATTAGTGTCCAAGAGATTAATTAGGGACAACTCCTGGAACCAACAACATAGGGAAGGAAAAGGAAGGGAGGACATCAGGACTGGGCAAAGGGAGAAGTAAAGCTGTGATGCAGCCTCAGAGAAACCTCAGGTGACCCTTTGGGGGGGTAGTTCTTAAGATGGGATAACCCCCCAGAGCTGTCCCTACTTCGGGGGGATGTCTAGGCCTTTATATCCTTACACCAGTCATTGAATGAAGGGCATTGTAGGAAGGGGTGGTGCCACCTTGGACAAAGCGGCTCTCTTTGGCTGCAGTGTTTCCAGGGCTGGGATTGAGCCTTTCCTTCCTGAAGGGTGACCTGAGTAGTGTGTTGCAGCGTCTATCACAACCCACTCCTTAACACCGTGTATTAGTTATCTATTGCTACGTAACAAATTAGCCTAAAATTTAGCAACCTAAGCAAACCGAGAAGGTGGCATTTGAGGAAAACCTAAAGGGAATGAGAAAGCAAGCCATGTGGATATCTGGAGAAAGAACATTCTAGGCAGAGGGAACAGCAAGAGCAAAGGCCCCAAGACCATGGTGTGCCTCATGTATTTGAGGAACAACAGAAGGGGCAGGAAACTAGGGAACCAGCCCACGGAAGGCGTTCTCAGCCATTGAATTGGATTTTGAACTGAGCTGATTTTCAGAGGTATCGTATGTGGGGTGAGAAAGAGAAGAGTCAAGGATGATGCCATGATTTTGGCCTGAAGAGCTAGAATAATGGAGTTGCCGTTTACTGAGATGGCAAGAATTACTAGAGGGTAGAGCACAATTTGGGAGGTCATAATAAGTTTGAGGTGCCTGTGTGTGTCCTGTGGAGATGCCAGGGAGGAGGTGGATTTACAAGCCAGGAGCTCAGGGCAACCTGCAATTCCCAAGCGTGCCAGGCGATCTTAAGCTTCTTTGCCTTTAGACATCCGGATCCCTGTGCCTAGAAATCTCTTCCTCTAGGAAACTTCTAGTCATACCCATTTTACATGTTACCAAGGAGGCCTTCCTGAGACCCTGCAGGCACAGTTGACCACTCTCATGTTGCCAGTCTCTACCTCTTTTTGCCTCTTCCTTGTAACGTGGTTATTCTTTACTTCACCTAGCATGTATTTACTGAGGTGTCTATTATGTGTGCTAGGCACTGCGATAAAATAATGAATCAGGCAAAATGCCCATCCTTACAGTCAAGGGTGCAGACAATAAATAATATTCAAGTAGTGATAAGTGCTATAAAAGCATGTGAAACAGTGTGTTGGGTGCGTATTGAGCACTACTTGAGAGAGTCTGGTCAGAAAGGTCTCTCTGCTGAGGTGGTATTTGAGAGAGCCCTGGAGGAGGTGAGGGGATTGAGCCATAAAAGACCTGGAGGAGCCACCAGCACAGGCACAGAGAACAGCCACCGTAAAGCCCTGAGACAGGAAGGAGCTGATGTGTCTCCAGCAAGGCCATTGTGCCTGGAGGACTTTGGGAGGAGATAGGTCAGACAGGTGGGCAGGAGACCAGGCGATGGAGTGCCTGTGGATTTACTCTAAAGGTGAGAGGAAGCCACGGGATGGTTTTGAGCAGGGATTGGTATGCTCTGAGTTAGTTCAAAGAGATGATTATGGCTACTGTGTAGAGAATAGATGGTGGTAGGAGTAGGGAGACTCGCAGTAGTCGGGGCAGGGGCAGGTGGTGACAGAAGAGGTGGTGAGAAGCGAGTAATGAATTGTTTGCAGGGGATAAAAAAGGGAGGAAACAAGAATAAAACTTTGATTTTTGGCTTGGGCAACGCATGTGGATGTCCTATTGAATTACCGTCTTCCTGTTAGGTTTAGAATATGAAAATCCAGAGTTTGTAGCGTGGTAAAATGTCCTGCATGATCTTGTCTATCTCTACCCTCATTCCCTGTCACCCTCTGCCTTCCCCACTAAAAGTCAGCTAAACTAAGTCAGCGCCTTGTCACCTTTCCGCACACACGCTTCCACCAGCTAAAACACTACCTCCTCAGAGACCTGCATCCACCAGCCCCATTATTTTCCATCACAGAACTCTGGATTTTCCTTTGTAGCACTTGCAACAATTTGCAATTAAATGAACATGCAAATATATAATTCCTGTTCCCTCCAGGAAACTGTAAGTTACAGGGGAAAAGTGCTTTTTCTGCCTCTTTTTCCCCTAGAGCCTACACAGTGCCTGATGCATAGTGGGTGCTCAGGGCACATCTGTTAAGTGAGTGGGTGCCTGGGAGAACTCAGTCAGTGAGGTGATGTTAAGGGGCTAGGAGACATTAGAGTGTCCCGAAATGCTTTCCAGGCTCTGCAGATGAGCAGTGTGCCTGGACTTTATTCCTTTTTGAAGTGTCAGAGGACTAATAGCAGTCATTTATTTTAAAAAATAAGTATTATACCTGGGATGTCTGAAAAACTTCAGTCATTTTAACTTCTGAGCTATATAGATGCCTCAGGATAGGATGCTTTTCCTTCACCACTGGGTCCCTGGAGCCCAGCACAGTGATACTTAGCAGTGCAGGACTGTGACACACACTGACTAATGCTCATTCATTCTTTCTCCCAAGGTCAACCTGAAGCGACCGTGTCCTTTCTGGGCAGAAGATGGCCATTGTTCAATAAAAGACTGTCATGTAGAGCCTTGTCCAGAGGTAAAATCAATTTTTTAAAAATTGAGAAAAGAAATGCTTTCTCTTAGACTTTTAGATAAGCGCGAACTGTGTATTTTAGGCTAATGTCAAAGCATTTGGACTTGTCATCAAATTCATGTGGTCTCAGCTCTCTTCTTTTTAACCAGATTACAGAAGATTTATTCTGTACTTGCCACCAAAATGGGTTTGTAGACAGTCTTGTATCCAGTGGTGTTGGTGACTGGATGTGGAAATATAGTCTGATTCTAAAATGGAGGCTTGTTCTAGGACTGGATCTGCAGTTAGCTCTTATTTCATGCTTTATTGAATCTGCATCTTGTTTCATGGGCAAAGAAAATGCTACTGCACCTTAAGTTTCAAATTTAGAGTGGGAATTAGAGTGCAAAAACTTGGGAAATTCAAGGCTTGGAGTTAGATCTTCCCTTGGTCTTGTTACATTGGGTGGGGGAAAAAGGGCTGTACTTGTTAGTAAGGGAAAGCTACATTTTAGACTTCATTTTTTGACATCTAGCATAATTAATTATATCCCTCTTCAACAGTAGTTAGTTATTTCCATTTTACTTTTTGCTTTTCTTACCTAACCAGTAAGTCTAGTTTTTTGCCTTTAAAAACAGGAAAAAAAACATCTGAACCAATATTGTTTCTAAACGGAAAATTAAAAAAATAATTATTTACGTTTTCCTTTAAGAATAAAATGTTTTAACTTTTTAGTTTGAAATAATTTGAGACATACAGAAAAGTTGCAAGAATAGTACAAACGATTCCCATATACTTTTTATCCAGATTCCCCAAATGTTAATGTTTATCAAGTTTTATTATTCCCTCTATATGTGTATACTAATATTATTATTTTTTGAACCATTTAGGTATGTAACCAACATGATGATCTTTTACCCCTAAATACTCCAGTGTGTATTTCTTTAAAAACAAGATTATTAACCACAGCATAATTAGCAAAATCAGGAAATTAACATTTCTGCAATACCAAAGTCTACTCTGTAGACCTTAAGCACCCATTGCCAGTTGATTTAATAACGTGTTTTCAGAGCAGCAGCAGCAGCAACAAACCTTCTGATCCAGAATTGTGCCTTGCATTTGGATGTCACATCCCTTTAGTCTTCTTTTAATCTGGAAGAGTCCCTCAGTATTTCTTTGTCTTTCGTTGTCTTGACTTTAATGAGCTCCCTCCCGCCCTTCCTTCCTTTTTTCCTCCCTCCCTTACTTAAAATACACCAGTTATTTTGTAGAATCCCCCTTATTTGGGGTTTTCCTGGTCTTTCCTAATTACTAGATTAAGGTCATGCACTTTGGGCAGGTACACCATAGAAGTGATGTGTCCTTCTCAGTGCCATATCAGGAGGCACGTGATGTCGTCTTGATCATGTGGTTATGGTGGTGTTTGCCATATTTCTTCATGGTAAAGTGGGAAAAATTTTTTGAGACTATGAACTATGACAATATCTCATTTTTTATCATATTTTTGCCATCTTAAGTTTTAGCATCCATTGATGATTCTTGCCTGAATTAATTATATGATAGTTGTCAAATAGTGATTTTCTGATTCCATTTCTTCTACATTTATTACTTGGCATTCTACTGCAAGTGAGAGCTTTTTCTTTATTTATTGTATGTTTATGTCAATATATATCGTTACCATCATGTTTTTTTTATAACAGCTTTATTGAGACAATTCACATACCATAAAATTCACTCATTCTAAAGTGCACAATTCAGTGAGTTTTAGTATATTACAGAATTGTGCAACCATCACCACTATCTAGTTGTAATGCATTTTCATCACCCCAAAAAGAAACCCCTGCCCATTAGCGGTCACCCTGTTTCCTACTCCCTCCTCCTGCTGGAAACCACTAATCCACTCTCTGTCTCTACAAATTTGCCTATTATGGACACTTCATGTGAATAAAATCATACAATATATGGTCATTTGTGACTGGCTTCTTTTGCTTCGCATAATGTCTTGAAGGTCCATCCATGTTGTAGCATGTATCAGTACTTCATTCTATTGCTGAATAATATTCCATTGTATGGATATACCTCATCTTGCTTATTCATCAGTTGATGGACATTTGGGTTGTTTCTACTTTTTGGCTACTATGAATAATGAATAAATATCCAGGCACAAATATTTGTGTGGACATATGTTTTCAATTCTCAAGTATACTTTGGAGTGAAATTGCTAGATCATATAGTAACTTTAACTCTTGAGGAACTGCCAAACTCTTACCATTGTGCTTTACAATTTTACATTGCCTCTAGTAATGTATGTATGATGGTTCCAGTTTCTCTACATACTTGTCAACACTTAACACTGTCTTGTCTTTTATTTTAGCCATGCTTACAAGTGGCATCTCATTTTGGTTTTGATTTGCATTTCCCTGATATCAAGCATCTTTTCAGGTGCTTATTGGCCATTTGTATATATTGTCAGAAAAATGTCTATTCAAATCCTTTGCCCATTTTTAAAATGAATTGCCTTTTTATTGCTCAGCTGTGAGAGTTACTTGGTTTTGCACAATATGTGTTTCTAAGTTGCTGTTTTTGTTTTTTGGTTTTTTTTTGCGGTATGCGGGCCCCTCACTGTTGTGGCTTTTCCCATTGCGGAGCACAGGCTCCGGGCGTGCAGGCTCAGCGGCCATGGCTCATGGGCCCAGCCGCTCCGCAGCATGTGGGATCTTCCCGGACTGGGGCACGAACCCATGTCCCCTGCATCGGCAGACGGACTCAACTACTGCACCACCAGGGAAGCCCCTCTCAGTTGTTTTTATGTTAAAATAATTATTTATTGTCTACAGTGGATTATCCTCTGTAGTCTTAAATTTCTAATAAGAATAAATGAAGGTGTTTATTTGCCTGTAAATCCCCAACATAAGAAATCTAACATAAGTATTTAAAAATTTCTGTCTATTCCCTTCCCAGTGTTGTTCTCTTTCCTTTCTTTCCAGAGATAAAAACTATCCCTTTATGTTGGTCCTTTCAACTAATATGAGGATATTTGTATTTCTCTCTCTGGGGAAAATTCAGTAGGCGTTTCATATTGAACGGAAACTTGTCTTGATACAGAGTTAAAATTTGCATTCTATAACTTGAAGTCTAATTTAATCGTGAGGCTCACTTAATTTGTAATTTGCAGATTGCTTCATATTGTTAGTGGCAACAACTAGGTTTATTTCATGTTTGATTTTAGTTATTAACTTTACATTTATCATTACTTTTTAAAAAATATTTACTTGGCTGCATCGGGTCTTAGTTGGGGCACGCAGGCTCAGTAGCTGTGGCTTGCGGGCTCTAGAGCACAGGCTCCATAGCTGTGGCGCGCAGGCTTAGTTGCCCTGTGGCATGTGGGATCTTAGTTCCCCAACCAGGGATTGAACCGGCATCCCCTGCATTGCAAGGCGAATTCTTAACTATTGGACCACCAGGAAAGTCCCCTATCGTTACTTTTAATAATTCTTTTTTGTGATTTTTATGTTATTCATGATGATCATCTGTGGTGCCTATCCCTGTATTTCTCAATAGCCTGTATTAAGATTTGCTTAAGTCAGGTTACTCCATTCAGCATCAAACCTTTTAAAAAGCTGCTAGTACTTTGGTTTTAGCATATTATACTTGTTAGAGGACAACAGTAATGAGAGGGCATTTTAATAAGTATTCCATATTTTAAGTTCAGGGTCTGATAACTATAACTGCTACATTTGACTTGAGTTTTATACTTTTCCCTCTTCTGCCTTCTGTTAGTGGTGCTAGAAAACACTGAGATGATAAAATATTGGCAGCAAGTAATGTTTTAACTATATGATATTGGGGGGAAATTTCTTATCATTATTATTTACATTCTTCAGCCTGACAGAAAAATATTTATTCTGAATATTTGACTAAACTTTATCTATGAAACATGAAAAAGTTTTAATGGGTAATTTGCAATTAATTTGGTAGCCCATAGATTCAGATGTTGGAAATCAGTTCCCTGGGTTGATCAGAGGATCAACCTGGGATTGCCTGCTTTCAGATATGATTTTTGCTTAAGATTGTGTTTGATAAACCAGTTGTAATAATTCATAGGTTTATTTAAGCCTGAAACTAATTATTGGTTTTACAGAAAAGAAAGACCTATGTGAAGTTCTTACATTGGTAAACCCTAGATTACCTAGATTGGTAAACCCTAGGTTAATCATATGAGCCAAGGAAACTTTTTGTTTTAATCTTATTGAAGTGTGGTTGATCTACAATGTTGTTAATTTCTGCTGCACAGCAAAGTGACTCAGTTATACGTATATATACTTTTTCATATTCTTTTCCAGTTTGTTTTTTAAATTTTATTATTTTTTTTATTTTTTATTTTTTTTTGCGGTATGCGGGCCTCTCCCTGCTGTGGCCTCTCCTGTTGCAGAGCACAGGCTCCGGACGCGCAGGCTCAGCGGCCATGACTCACGGGCCCAGCCGCTCCGCGGCATGTGGGATCTTCCCAGACTGGGGCACAAACCCGTGTCCCCTGCATCGGCAGGAGGACTCTCAACCACTGTGCCACCAGGGAAGCCCCCATTTTGTTTTTTCACAGGATATTGAATATAGTTCCCTGTGCTGTACAGTAGGGCCTTGTTGTTTATCCATCCTATATATAATCGTTTGCATCTGCTAATCCCAAACTCCCAGTCCATCCCTCCCCCACCCCCCCTTCCCCTTGGCAACCACAGGTCTGGTCTGGCAAAGAACTTACTCTCGCTTTCTAGTATTAATTCAAAAGTATCTAAATTTCAGATGTCAACTTAGAGCAGAAATTTAAATTAAGCATAATATATTTCAAATAATTTTTAAAAAGTTGTTTCTGTGGAAAGAAAATTTATGGAAAAAGTGATTTCGCTAGGTGTTTTTTTAAACCTAAAAATTATGTAACCTATTAATTACTGCATTGAGAGTTATTAGAGCTGATTTTGACACTCTTTGTTTTCCATACTGTGATTTACAAGTCTGTAAATTGGGATAGTTGTTTACCTTTCACCTCAGGAGGTAGTATGAAAACAGAATTTGAATGAATGTATATTTTCTCCTCATGGACTAAAATAGCCTTTGAATTAGAACAGTGGCATTAATAATTCGTGAAGAAATCTCAAAAAATAAAAATATCATTTTCTAAATTTTTGTTTTTGTTCTTCTTTTAAGAGTAAAATTCCAGTTGGAATTAAAGCTGGGAGTTCTAATAAGGTGAGTCACTTTTCTTCATTAAATATTTCTGCTTTACATAGTGAAACTTGCCCCTTACTGCTTGGTGTAGTTGCTGAAGAGAACCATGATATGGTTAGTTAGGAATGGACACATTTTTGTCTGAGAATCCCAAATCCTTAATTTTGTAGCAAGCAGTGAGGTGTAGTATATTCTTTACAATTAAACTATATAGCTTCTTTTGAAATACTTTAGTTGTGTTTTTAGAACTTCTAGAATAACTATAAAGTACTGTAGTCAGTGTCAGTTTACCTAATCAACAGGCATTTTGTCAGGCATGTATTTTTACTCTTCTGTTTTCAGCTGTTTTCAACTATTTCAGTCATATTCAGGATTATATTTTATAGAGTAAACAATTATCAAGATATTTTGAGCATAGTACTTTTCAATGGCATTAAAAGGTTATCCTTTTCCTCTTATGGGGTATGTCATAATCTACTTGGCCATTCATATGTTTTTAAATAACAGTGTGTTTCTAGCTTTTCACTATCATACATATGTAATAAAGATCATCCTACCCTCTCTCTCTGCTTCCCTATGTATCCTCTCTCCATTTTCTTGTGCTCTCTACCTTTGCAGTCTTTTGTTTGCACTCCCTCTTTTATTTATTTTTGTTTCAGATCTACAGTAGATAGTATAAAGACAATTGAAACCCCTTCTGAACTCCTTCCCAATCCCATTATATTTCCTCCCTCTCTAGAGCTAGCCACTTTGCTGAAGTTGATGTCTATCCTTCTGTGATACTTTTTCTCTTTATATTGTATTATACATGTATCCACAAGTAATATATAGATCTGTTATACAAAATTTAAAACAATTTTTAAATAATAATATATAAAATATAATAATTTTGTATTTCTTCAAGTTAAAAACATTTTTTTTACTTTATATTTTTGTGTAGTATTGTGCTTTTGAATTTTTGTCTCTGCTAATATATGTAGATTTTGTTAATTTTAATAGCTGCAAAATATTCAGTTGTATAGATATTTGTATAATTGTGTGAATAGCCATTCCTCTGTTGATGGACATTTCAATTGTTTTCAGGTTTTTGCTATCACAAACAATGACGCACTGGCATCTTTGTCTTTCATCGAATTGTGCACATATGTAAGAGTTTCTCTAGGTCTATATTTAAAAGTAAGATTGCTGGGCCAAAGGGGATGCCTATCTCAGCATTACAGGAGAGTACCAAATAACTTTCTAAAGTGGTTTTTGTTTTTGTTTTTAAATGTTGCTCTAGATATGGATTCAGCAGTGGGACTGCTGGCTCAAGGGTTTATTCATATTTACAGCTCTACATAAATATTGTTAAATTACTTTCCCAAGAGGGTCTTCTCAGTTCACATCACCAACATACCAATGCAAATTGCTACATTTTTAATGTCTTTCCTTATTTATTAGGTGGAAATTTGTGACACATTTTCATTTGCATTTCTTCCATGTGTTAGGGATTCTGATAATAGGATGTATCTATATTTAGTATACATCATCATTGGCAAACTGACTCTTCTGCCAATGGAACCTGAAATAAAGACAAAGGTAATAATTGCTACTAAACTTACATATTATGAATTTCTTTTCAGTACTTGAAAGTGGCAAACAATACCAAAGAATTAGAAGATTGTGAACAAGCTAGTAAACTGGGAGCAATTAACAGCACGTTAAGGTAAATTTCATTTTAGTAGTATTAAGAAAATATTCCCTTGTTTAATTTATTTATGATAGAAATCTTTGGTTTTTCTTGTGATTTTGATTAAAGTTTCAACTAATCTTTGAAAGGAAATAGTTACTCTTTATCCTAAATTTCATGATAGCTTTGCTTCCTCTTAGCTTTTTCGTTCTAAGTCATCAATAATGACTATTAAAAAGGAAAAATTTAGGTGATTTCTCATTTAGCAGGGTTTATGGGTCCATTCTTCCTGATTATTATGGGAAAAGGAACTTGAATCTCTTAGTCTTTTTAAAATAGTAATTCAATCTACATGTTACATTTTGAATGATAAAGGTTTCTATTAACTGTTAACGTTTCGTAGATTTTTTTTTCTGTTGACTTTATTTGCTCTAAGTACAAACCTGCTTTTGAAGGCCAACATGAGTAATTTGTAAGTGGTCTCAGATTATGCAGTATAAAATGACTGAGCAGATCTGTAGTTGTGAGTGGGGAAGGGAATATTACAGAAATTCTTTTTAATTTCCCTGTTAAGATTTGTAATTATGTACTATAATTGTTAAAGACAATAAAGTTAGTAGTTTTGTGTATCTTATTTATTGATGAAAAATTCTAATATATAAAAGTAGAAAGGATAATATAATAAACACCCATATATACTCTACTCCAAATGAATAAATGTTAACATTTTCTGCCATGTTTATGAGAAAAGAGAAATGCCAAAGATGAATTTGAAATCCCCTGTTTATTCCCCAATCCTGTTTTCTTCCCTCTTTCCTTAGAGATAACTGAATTTGGTATGTATCCAAGTCCATGTTTTTGTTTTTAATTTATATATATATAGTTTGTGTATATGATTTTATTTTTCCTTTATGTAAATGATATAATGTGATAATTAACATTCTGCAACTCTTTTTACACTGCACATTTTGCTTTCTAGATATATCCATGTTAGAATGAGACAAATCTCTATGTTTTTTTAGCCGATAAATGGTTTTCATCATATAAATATGCCATAGTTTGCTTATCTATTCCCCTACTGATGGCCATTTAGGTTGTTTCAAATTTTTTACTTCTAAAAATTATGCCACCTTGAGCATCCTTGCTAATGTTTTTTGTATACACTGGAAATAAAATTGCTGAACCCTAAGCTTGCCGTCTTGCAGCTGTTCTTCATATAGCCTGGTGGCTTTTCTAAAACACTTGTGTGGCTATGTATGGCCTCCAGCACTGAGAACTTGCTTTGTTCTCCACATCCTTGCCAAAAATTGGTAATGTTTGATAAGTGTGAAATAGTATCTCATTTTTCCTTAATTATATTTTGTTGATTATTAGTGAGTTTGGGCATTTTTTCCTCTTGTTTATTGGGCATTCTGGTTTCTTATTCATTCAACAAATGAATGCCTACAATATGCCAGGTGCTATTCTAGGATTATAGCGGTGTAAGTGGGAAACAAATTCCAGCGCTCCTGAAGCTTAATCCTAGGCAGAGATGTGCAAGAAACAAGTAAAGTTAGTGCTAAGTAATAAAATGATGATGAGTGCCAGGCAGAAAAATGATGCAGGGAAGAGTGAGAGAGAGGGCTAGGGGTGAAGGTGGTTGCACTGTTTTAAATTGTTGGTCCAAGAAGGCCAGAGTGATAACAGGCAAAGCGCTCATGAAGGCCTGAGTCATAATATGGCTGCCTGGGCATGTAGGGGGTGGGGAACAGTATTTCAGGCATGCATAATGGTTAGTAAGAGGCCCTGAGGCCAGAGCTTGCCTAGACTGCTTGAGGAAGCACAAGGCCAGTGTGGCTGGAGTATAGTGAACAAGGACAAAGTAATGGAAGACAAAATCAGAAGATGCTAGGGATGGGAGGGGGCAGGAGTAAGGTGAGGTGGAGATCTTGTAAAATCTTGAAGACACTTATTATGAATATTGCTTTTAAAACTGAGTGGAATGAAAAGTCACTGGAGGATTTTGAGAGTGTGTTGGGGAGCCAGGTGTTATGTCGTGGAAGCCTGCTTTATGTGGTTATTGTAGTAATCCTTGTAAGACGTGATGGTGGTTTAGTTTAGGCTGGGGTGATGGCTGTGGAAATGATGAGAGGTGGTCAGATTCTGGATAGATTTTGGAGGTAGAGCTGAGAGTATTTGCTGAAGGATTGGATGTAGGGTATGAAAACAGAGAGGAGCTAAGAATGATTACAAGATTTGGTTGTAAAAAAAATGGAGCTGCCATTTATTGAACTGGGGGCACCTACCGGAGGAGCAAGTTTGATGGGAAATTTTAGTTCAACCTTGGACTTGTTAAGTTTGAGCTGCCTGTGAAATGTCCAGCAGGCAGTTGGATATACAAGTCTCAATTTCAGGGGAGGGGTCTGGGCTGGAGATAAAATGTGGGTGTCATTCAGTGAATGTGTGATATTTAAAAACCATAAACCTGAGTGAGATTACCAAGGAGAGAATATAAATAAGAGAAGTGATCCAGGGACTGGGCCTTAAGTTATCATAAGATTTTGAGGTAAGTTGCCTGTTAATATTCTTTGCTATCTTTTCCTCCATTGGGGAAGGGGTGCATTTTTATATTATTCTGTAGGCATTCTTCATATAATCTGATAATAATTCTTTGTTGCCTGTATGGGTTGTTAGGGCTTGTCTTTTAATTTTGCTTATGGATTTTTGTTGTTAAACTGAAGTTATTAATTTTTTAAACTTTTAAGTTTAACACACACATAATAAAGTATACAAATCTTAAGTATAAAGGCCAATTTAATTTTAGAAAGTGAACTAACTCTATTAGCCATCATCCAGAACTATATACTTGCTACCCAGAAGATCACATTATGTACTTTCCTAGCCTTTACCACCTTCCAGAGTTAATCATGATTTTGAGTTATGTTAGTAAAGATTAGTTTTGCCCATTTATATACATGGAATAATATAGTGTGTATTCTTTTGTATCTGGCTTATTTTATGCAACATTATGTTGAATAATACTATGCTGGATGTCTTGGCCATTTCACAAAATATTTAGGTGGATATTTGCTGGTACATTTGGTATGCATTTCTGTGGAGAATATATCTAGGAGTGGAATTAAGAACTGCCAAATGGTTTTCCACAATGACTGTACCAAAATACATTGCCGCTAGTAGTAGTGTACAGGAGTTCCTCATTCCACAACTTCTCCGACAATTGGTAGTGTAATTTTTAAACAGCTTTATGGAAGTGTAGTTGACACACAGTACACTGCACCTATTCAAAATGTACAATGTGATGTTTTGACATGTGTACGTTCACAAAAATCAGCACAATCAAGATGGTTATGTCTGCACTCCCCAAAGTTTTCTCATGCCCCAGTGTGATCCCTCCATCCCATCCCTTCCTGTCCCTGTTTCCCACTTCAAAGATGACTACTTTAACTCATGGCACTGTCTTGATAGAAAGCCCTAGGTTAAGCCCAAGAGATTCTTCTGTTAAGTACCGTGGCATCCATCTTCATACTGACTTTTAGAAAAGCTGGACTAGATCATCTCTAAGGTTCCTTATAACTTGTTTATAAACCAAACTGGGCCAGCTCTATTAGCATTAGATTAACGTTCCATATCTTTTCTGCTACCATGGCTTTAGGCAAGGGTTAGATGAAACAATCCAGAAAACTTCATCAAATAAGTGTGCTAAAAGTTCCTCTAAGTTAGTCATATTGCTCATAAGAAAATAGGCATTTATATCAAAATTGCTTTGTTCTTTACTATTTTCAGCAGAAGACTTACCTGATTAAACATAACTGTAGTTATCATTTTAGCTCTAACTAGAGCTTAGGCATTCTTGTTTTATGGCATCATATATTTCAACTGAGTCACCTATGATATAATTTTCCATTAACTTTTATGAAGTTAATTATATATTCCCATAGGAGAAAAAAAATCCCATGGTAAATTGAATTGGAAATTTTTATTGGTAAAGTTGTTATAGTGCGGCCACCCTTATATACTTCCTGTAGTCGTTATGCTATGCAGCAGCTTCTCAAATACAAAATAAGTTATTGGCTATGACAGTACCACATTTATGAATACCTGATTTATACTTGGTACATCATTTTTTTTTTTTTTGCCTCATTTGTTTTCCTTTAGGGAATAAAGATGGTATATATGCTACCATCATGTATTTAAGACAGAGAAGGTCTGAATATAGGTTAAAGTGAATATAGGTCAAAGTTTATTTGAATGAGTGTAGTTGTTCCTTTATCAGTCCTCCAGGTCAGAAATCTTGATCATAGGACTTCCCTGGCGGTGCAGTGGTTAAGCATCTGTCTGCCAATGCAGAGGACATGGGTTCGAGCTCTGGTCCAGGAAGATCCTACATGCCGCGGAGCAACTAAGCCCGTGCGCACAACTACTGAGCCTGCGCTCTAGAGCTCGCGAGCCACAACTACTGAGCCCTCAAGGCACAACTACTGAAGCCCACACACCTAGAGCCTGTGCTCTGCAACAACAGAAGCCACTGCATTGAGAAGCCCATGCACCACAACGAAGAGTAGATCCCGCTTGCCGCAACTAGAGAAAGCCCGTGCACAGCAATGAAGACCCAGTGCAGCCAAAAATAAATAAATAAATAAAATGTATTTATTAAAAAAAAGAAATCTTGAACATAGATTTTGTTAAATGTGACGTAATGTGTGAAATGAATGATATACTGTGATGAAAGTGACATTGGTGTTACTAGGGAATAGCACATTGGATGGAAGATCCTAGAAATGCATGTTTTAGTATTTTGGGTTGTATAAGTAGAGAAGCAATTTAAATTAAAAGAATTATGAAAGTAAATTTAATTCCTACTTTAGGAAAAAATAATACATAGTTAACTACAATTTCTAAGTCAGTTAAAAAGACCAGCCTGAATTTCGTGTTTAACTACGTCTTATATATATTTGTAAATTAGTTTTCTGGTCAAAGTAGTTATCATTGAACTAGGGCTAAAATAGTTTTAATATAGTTAAGAAATATAAATCACTCACAGAAATAAATATGTCTTTCGTATAACTTGTTTTAATCATTCATGTGACTGCTAACTGAACTTGTAACACCATCTAATTAATAAAGATGTGATCTCAGATTATCTATTTTTAGTACACTAGATACAGTGTTAAAGTTTTCAACTCCAGATTTAATCCTTTTTCTTTTTTATTCCTCCTTCCCATAGTAATCAAAGCAGAGAAGCTTTCATTGACTGGGCAAGATATGATGATTCACAGGATCACTTTTGTGAACTTGATGGTAATAAAAGAAACTATTGTAATTACATTATTTTAACTTTAACCCTTTTAAGACCCTTAAATTAGTGAAGTTACAGTCAGAGTTATAGCTTAAAGACACAGGATGTTGTATGTGGATCTTATTATTCATAATGGTGTTTATTGTGTTCCAAGCCCTGTGCTAAGTGCCTTAAGTACATTATTTCTTAGCTTTACAACTACCCTAATAGGTGTGTATTATTTTATATCTGGGGAAACTGAGTCTCAAAAAGACAAAGTAACTTGCCCAAGATCACACAGTAGCAAGAGGCTGAGACAGGATTCAGTCCCAGATCTGACTGAATCCCAAACCTGTCTTCTTTCCATTGTGGCACCCCACCTCCTATGGACCTCTAATTCAAGCCACTTAGTTATAGGTCTGTGACCATGTTATAGAAATGTTCACACTCGAATTAGTTGGAGGTCTCAACAAACTAACATAAAAGACACCTTCTGACATCGTGGAGGACTCTAATTTGACTTCCCCACAGCCCTCCTTCCAAGAGTCCCCTGGAATGGAACAAATGGTAGTTCAGTAGTAACTACCACTTCTTTTAACAGAAGATAATTGACGTGACTCAAAATTTTTTATCTATAGGAGAATACTCCCAATAATTATGTTGAGTAGGCTTAAATCATTCATTTGGCCTCTCTTTACCTTTTACCTTGGTATTGTTATTTTCTAGTGGTAGAAAAGAATTTGGAGTTCAACCATGCATAACTGAAAACAGGCAGCAGAAGTTCTTCTGAATTTTTAAAGCATCTAGCGTGGTTTGCTTTCTAAAGACTTGTTTTAAAGATTCTTATGTAGAATTGTGTTTTTAATGCAGTCTGTAATGGAATAAATTACAGGGCGCTTCTACAATAGTATGGTAAATTGAGAAGATGCTGGGAGAGGGAGTGTTATTACCATGTTTTATATAGTTTCAGCAAGGAAATTGCTAAGAAATCTGAACAAAGTTTTTTTCGATACGATAATGGGCAATTCATAAATACCCCTATTATGATATTTGGAATTGGCAACGGTTTTATCAGAGCAAGCCGTTGTTCCTGGGTAAGCACTCACGTGGCTGACTGCTCTTATTTGCTTTTTGGTTGTCAATCTAATTATATTTGAGTGTTTAACACTCATAGTCACTTCTTTCCAACTTCTCATGTATTCTTTTATTAAAATATTCTGGATAGTGCTTATTTAACAGGTTTTCAGATTAAAAAATTATTTCTGTGAGTATATATTTCTCTTTAGGTATTTAGTAAAAATTACTACTCAATTGTAGAGATTGCTTGCTATGATTAAATTGATGTGTTCTATTATCTGTCATCCGTATAAATAGTGTTAATTAATTTTTCTGTAGTAGCTTCTTAAATCGTAAAAGTGGAAGAGGTGTCCTATAAAAATTTCCATAAAATCATCCTTTAACATTTTTAGGATTACATATTAAAATAATTAGTTGTTTTTATATTTTTTAAATTAATTAATTAATTTTTGGCTGCGTTGGGTCTTCGTTGCTGTGCGTGGGCTTTCTCTAGTTGTGGCGAGTGGGAGCTACTCTTTGTTGTGGTGTGCAGGCTTCTCACTGTGGTGGCTTCTCTTGTAGTGGAGCACGGGCTCTAGGTGCATGGGCTTCAGTAGTTGTGGCACGTGGGCTCTAGAGCGCAGGCTCAGTAGTTGTGGTGCACGGGCTTAGTTGCTTCGCGGCATGTAGGATCTTCCCGGACCAGGGCTCAAACCCGTGTCCCCTGCACTGGCAGGCGGATTCCTAACTGCTGCGCCACCTGTTTTTATATTTTATGTAATTCTTAAACACGTGAAACCATGCTACTAGTTGGATTACCACGATTCTCCTGGGTAGTAATGTTCATGTGGGTCCCAAAGATTTTTACCTACAGTTTAAAAAAAATACTATCAGAGTAGCTTTGGAGTCATGGTTTAGTTATTTCAGTAATCTAAAATCATTAGATTAGGGACTTCCCTGGTGGTCCAGTGGCTAGGACTCTGTGCTCCCAGTGCAGGGGGCCTGGGTTCGATCACTGGTCAGGGAACTAGATCCCACATGCCGCAACTAAGACCCGACGCAGCTAAATAAATATTTAAAAATAAAATAAAATCATTGGAATAAAACAAAAAGTCTAAAGAATATTCACCCCAGTTTGGAATATAGTCAAACACTCTTGCTCTCTGCTGTTTTGTTTTTGTTTTTGTCATTATTTGAAAGGAAAGATGATCCTCATAGATCAAATAATAGGTTTTTAAATAATTCAGCGGTTTAAGGTAAGCCGCTCTCCCTACCTCTTATTTTTTTTTTTTTTTGATATTGTTGTTATGCATGGCTTGCTGCTTCCTTTGCTTCAGGTTTCTGCTCAAATGTCACCTCCTCAGAGAAGCCTGCTGTCATAAAAGAGTAACCACTTTCACTTTCTATCTCTTTGCACTGCTGCCTGCTCCCAGAGTACTAAGAACTATGTGAGAAACACTATTTAGTTTATCTGTATGTTGTTTGTCTTCATCTAGATTGTGAGCGACTTGAGAGCAAGGGCCATGTCTTTTTCTTCACGATTGTATCCCTAGTGCCTAGAACACTGCCTGGCCATGGTTCATGCCCAGTAAATATTTGCTCAGTGAAGTAGTTAGTTCATAAATAACCTGAACAGTGTGATAGATTTTTGCTTTTTATTTTTCCCCTTAAAACAGGTTCATTGATACATGAAAAATATTGCTTAAAACACTGGTTTCTAAATCTGGGTGTGTATCAGAATTACTTGGATGCTTTATAAACTATAGATTCTCCTTGACTGAGGGAATTATGTTTTAATAGTGAGTTAGTGGCAGTTTGGGGTAGCGTTGGAGATGGAGGCTTGTAGACTCAATCCTGAGTCTGTAACCTTATATCTTTTGTCTGTGTCCATAAGCAAAAAGCTTACACGCTAAGTTGTCCTGTGCAACCATTACGTATTAAGAGATATATAGGTTAGAAGGTGGGAAGGATGCCTGGCACCACAGAGCATGCAGTGTGGCCTCGTAACTCTAACACTAAATTAGGACAGTGAAAAAATTCAGCTGGGGAAAAAAGGTGTACTTGAGGAGGAGGAAAAAATATTGGTTCAAGTTGATGAATTCCCAGAATTAGGTATTTTGATTCAGTAGAAATTCTTTGAATCCTTTGGTATTGGTTAGCATGGTCAAAAAGAAAGAATAGCTTTGGAGCAGGTTTGTAGAGGGAGGAAAAAGAGAAAACTTTTTGTGGGGAGGACTTAGTAGGGATCCAAGAGCATTACCTGAACGTATGACACAGCTGTACAAATGGAAAGAAGTTATAGTTTGGGAACAATTTAATTATGATCATGTCACAGGTGGCCCTGGGACTAAGGATGGGTGTGTTTATAGGGAACCTCAGCCTGTGTATGCTTTCTCCCACATATGTTCCTCACTGTGGATGTCATGAAATTCTTGTCAGTATAGGTCAGGGGTTGACAAACTTTTTCTTCTGTAAATGGGCAGACAGTAAATATTTTAGGCTTTGTGAACCATATGGTCTCTCTTACAACTGCTCAACTCTGCCATAATAATGTGAAAGTGGCACATAAGCAAATGAACATGACTTGTGTTCCCATAAAACTTTCTTTACAAAAATACACAGCAGACCAGACTTGGCCTGTGGGCCATAGTTTGCTGATAACTTCTGTAGGTTAACAAAACACCTTTTTCATGATTTGAAAAAGTATTTTTTAAAACAACTTTTGATTTGGGAATTAAGGGAATACACACTAAGAACATTAAGAATGTAAGTTTACTTAAGTACTTTAAAAACTGATATAATTGATTTTACTCATGTGACTTTCTACTCCCTTAGAGTATATTTTAAATCCATATACTTCAATATTTGAATCCAGGGTTTTTTTTTTTTTCCTTTGTTGGTTGTTTAACTGGGCGAAGAGGTTGATACTAATTCAGTCTTCACATTCATAGATGACTGTACATAAGTGTAGGCTTATGTGCGTGCACATACGTTCTTTATACACGTGTGTATACATATATGTGTCAATGGGTATATATTTATGTTATTAATATTTCTAAAGCTTATATACGTAACTGAGTCAATTTTGCAAGTGAACTTGAGAACAGCTCAAAGAAATTTAAAATATATAACAAATTAGTGAATTGTAAAACTTAAAATTTTACTGTAAAATCCATATTTTATTAACTAAATGATTTGAATTTTTAGTTTTCAATTAAGATTTTTTAAATTATTGTTTTAAGTCCTGATCAGTAAATGTCCTTCGACAGTTTCTGATCATCCATCTGTAAGTTAACGTTTTCTGTGCTTTAACTTATTTAGTGGAATATCTATATAATGTTAGTGCTGGAAATAGAGCCAGTATTCTTCAAAATCATGTTTTCATTGTAAGTTAGATACCACTCATTTAGTAATGATAAGTTATGATTATCTTTGTACTCTTTATACATCACAAAAGTATCAGGTAGTTTTTGAAAGGCATGGATCAGGGTGCTGCTTTTTTTCCCCTTAAGATTATGGATCATCTCAATCTACAGTCATTGAATGGCCAATGAATATTTTTGACTGATAGGTAATGAAAGCAAAAGGGGCCATATTTTAATGACCATGTTTGTCCCTGTTTCAAGTCAGGTGTCTGTATACCATTAATTTAATACCGTGACACCAAAAATTAGGAAGCATATACATAAAAGAATACATCCATGCCAACATACATAGCATTTCAGCTTATAGGTGGTATTAGTATAGATGTGTGAAGCATAGTCATTATAATTTTTCTGTAGATGGTAAAGCGTGTGCTTCCCTTTTCTACCCAGAATGTGACCATTAAGACCATTTTTCTTTATCTTTTGTATTCCCCAGAGATCTCTATCAAAATGTTGTCCAAATAGTAGAGATCTAGTAAATACTAATTTGAGTTTCAACACAGAAAATGGTTATTTAATTTTAAATGCGTTAATAAATTCTTGAAGTTGTGCCTACTCACCAATATGTTAACCAAGTAATATGTTAACCAATATATTAATATTGGTAAAAATAAATTTGTAACTTTTCTTTTTACTACAACATTGTGTAACTATGAATGATTGAATTTGAATCACAAAGTTACTACACCATTTACTTCCTAAGTCCAAGTAGAAAGTATCAGGGAAATCTTTTTTTTTTTTTTTTTTTAGATACAATATATGCAAACAAAATAAATGTTTCAGGTATGTCCTTAGGTAGATATATACATAGGGGGCAATCACATAAAATATTAAGAACAGGTTATGATTCTGTTAGGTCTTTTCAGTCCTAGTGGTTAAAACTTAAGAAATGATTAATGCCTCTAATAAGGTAAAGCCTCTTACATTCCGTAAGAGGGCATTGAGCGTCCAAAAGAAAGGGAGCAGTTACTTTTCCTCTCTCAAGTTCAAGTTATTTTAAGTCCTGGGTCAAGGACAGTCACAAGTGTGCTAACCACTCTACCATTTAAGTTGGAGATGACTTGAAAGCGTAGCATTTCTCTACCTTTGGATAGTCCTGTTTGCTTTGTAATGGTAAATTTTAGATAAATAGTGAAATGTGGATGGTTTTATGAATTGTTTCTTGTTCAGATGAGAGATCTCCAGCTGCTCAGTATGTAGACCTTTTGCTGAACCCTGAGCGTTACACTGGCTATAAAGGGCCCTCTGCGTGGAGAGTGTGGAACAGCATCTACGAAGAAAACTGTTTCAAGTAACTGGAGGGGGTAGGGGAAAGAGGAGGATTGACTAGAGGGAGGGTGGAAGAAGGGGAATACTTGTTTCTCTTGGAAAAAATTACATCAAGATGTCAAACCATTTTACGTTTGAGTTTTGTATTTTCTTTTTCAGGCCTCGATCTGTTTATCGTCCTTTAAATCCTCTGGCACCCAGCCGAGGTGGGTTTTTGATACATTTTCATGCTCTTAGAAATTGTTTACAAGATACCTTTGTAATTATATGTTGAGAAAATTCTCAACTATTTTATATTATTGTTTAATTTGAATGATCAAAAGTATAAGATTAGTTCATAGTTAGGCCTCAAGATTTCCACGTTTTATATAATTACTGTCATTTATTGACTGCCTGATATGTGCCAGGCCCTAAACTAGGAGCTATGTATAAAATAAATTAGAATATATGAGTAATCCATATATATTAGAGGTTCCTGGGGAACTGGTAAAAATCTGAATGCCCAGGCCCTGTCTCATACCAGTTGTCACAGTCTGTGGAATTCGGACCCAGGCGTTGGTCTTTTTTAAGCTCTCCAGATGATTCCAGTATGCAGCCGCTTTCAGAACCAGTGACTCATAGCATGCTTCTCTGACTTCAGTACGCATACAAATCACCTAGGAGCCTTGTTAAATACAGGTTCTGATTCTGTAAGTCGTGGGTGAGACTCCCAGGTGATGCCCAAGTGCTGATCGATGCACGACACTCTGATTCAGAAAGATGCAGAGAAGTATCAGAAAGTTAGGTTGCCACTTTGCCACATCAGGCTGTTGAGCACATGAAATGTGGCTAGTGTGAAACTAAATTTTACCTTTTACGTCATTTTAGTTCATTTCAATTTAAAAACTGAAGCAGTATAAAATATTTTTGCCATTGAACAGAACCTGATTGTTTTGGTAGAGCTACTTTAACTCTTGCATCACAAAACAAATCGTTGATGTACTGCAGTGCATGTATACCTTTTACTTTTTAAAATGTGGATATTAGAAAACATTACAAATTTTTATTAGAAAAAAATTTTAATTACATATATGGCTGTTATAGTTCTATGGGACAGCATTGTCTTACATAGTTGGAGTTTATTCAATATAAAATTATTAGGCATATCCTCAATCTGTTCTCAACGAGGACCCTGGGAGCAGCCCTGTGATTGACGTGCCATTCTAATGCTTTCTTTAGACCAGGATTGATTTAGGAACTTGAATTTCCTGGTCTAGATTCATCTCTTTAGGCATTTCTCAGAACCAGAGTGACTTAGGAAGTTTGAATGAATGGACTGCTCTCAGATGTGCACTCACAGTATGGCCAATAGTTTTCCCAAATTCATCCTGAAACTGCTTGGGCAAGATAATCGGAGTGTGAAGAAGGTGCGCATGGCTTCTTATCCTTTGTCTCTTTTACTACTTTTACCTCATAACTTTTCCATTTTCAACGTAAATGTTTTTATTATACAAGATTTTATAAAAATTGAAACAATGCAAAAGTTACATAAAGTAAAAAGGGAACGCTTCCCCCACTCCTACCTCCACACACTTTTTCTTTTCCATAGTACAGAGTTTGGAAGGTATCCTTTCAGACCTTTTCTATGATCACTTACTCTTTTTTGGTTTTTTTTTTGTGGTACGCGGGCCTCTCACTGTTGTGGCCTCTCCCATTGCGGAGCACAGGCTCCGGACGCGCAGGCCCAGAGGCCATGGCTCACGGGCCCAGCCGCTCCGCTGCATGTGGGATCTTCCCGGACTGGGGCATGAACCCGCGTCCCCTGCATCGGCACGCAGACTCTCAACCACTGCGCCACCAGGGAAGCCCTCTTTTTTTTTTTTTACATCTTGTTTTTTGGCTGTGCTGGGTCATCATTACTGTGTGTGGGCTTTCTCTAGTTGTGGCGAATGGGGGCTACTGTTCGTTGCAGTGCGCAGGCTTCTCATTGTGGTGGCCTCTCGTTGCAGAGCACGGGCTCTAGGCATGCAGGCTTCAGTAGTTGTGGCTCACGGGTTCTAGAGCGCAGGCTCAGTTGTGGCGCACAGGCTTTGTTGCTCTGTGGCATGTGGGATCTTCCAGACCAGGGCTTGAACCCGTGTCCCCTGCATTGGCAGGCGGATTCCTAACCACTGCATCACCAGGGAAGCCCTTTTTTTTTTAACATCTTTATTGGAGTATAATTGCTTTACAGTGTTGTGTTAGTTTCTGCTGTATAACAAAGTGAATCAGCTATATGTATACATATCTCCCCATATCCCTTCCCTCTTGCGTCTCCCTCCCACCCTCCCTATCCCACCCCTTTAGGTGGTCACAAAGCACGGAGCTGATCTCCCTGTGCTATGCGGCTGCTTCCCACTAGCTAGCTATTTTACATTTGGCAGTGTATATGTGTCCAGGCTACTCTCACTTCGTCCCAGCTTACCCTTCTCCCTCCCCATGGCCTCAAGTCCATTCTCTACGTCTGCGTCTTTATTCCTGTCCTGCCCTTAGGACAGGACCTTTTTTTTTTTTTTAGATTCCATATATATGGATCACTTACTCTTAAAGCAGAAAACATAATTGTTCATTTAATAAAAGCATCAAGTCCTAAGAAATACTTCACTTCCCTATTATGATAAACTAGAGACATGAGGCTGGAGGAAAGATGAAGAGAGGAAGGAAAGTGCATAGAGAAACGGATAGAGGGAGGAAAGAGGAGCAGAGAAAAAACAAGTGTAGAAGAGGGAGACAAAAGACTAGGTAAGGGAGAGAATGTGTCCTGGGTGATAAGTCGGTACCCCAGGAAGTAATGCAGTAGTTCTCACTACTGCTGTTTATATGCTTTCTCCACCGAAACCACCAATTGTCAATTAACAGCTGTTTAATTTTTTTTTTGAATTTTTGAACTTTATTTTTTTATACAGCAGGTTATTAGTCATCCATTTTATACACATCAGTGTATACATGTCAATCCCAATCTCCCAATTCATCACACCAACACCACCACCCGCCGCTGCTTTCCCCCCTTGGTGTCCATACGTTTGTTCTGTACATCTGTGTCTCACTTTCTGCCCTGCAAACTGGTTCATCTGTACCATTTTTCTAGGTTCCACATATATGCGTTAATGTACGATACTTGTTTTTTTCTTTCTGACTTAACTTCACTCTGTATGACAGTCTCTAGATCCATCCACGTCTCTACAAATGACCCAATTTCGTTCCTTTTTACGGCTGAGTAATATTCCATTGTATATATGTACCACATCTTCTTTATCCATTCGTCTGTCTACGGGCATTTAGGTTGCTTCCATGACCTGGCTGTTGTAAATAGTGCTGCAGTGAACATTGGGGTGCATGTCTCTTTTTGAATTGTGGTTTTCTCTGGGTTTAGGCCCAGTAGTGAGATTGCTGGGTAATATGGTAATTCTATTTTTAGTTTTTTAAGGAAGCTCCATACTGTTCTCCACAGTGGCTGTATCAATTTACTTTCCCACCAACAGTGCAAGAGGGTTCCCTTTTCTCCACACCCTCTCCAGCATTTGTTGTTTGTAGATTTTCTGATAATGCCCATTCTAACTGGTATGAGGTGATACCTCATTGTAGTTTTGACTTGCATTTCTCTAATAATTAGTGATGTTGAGCAGCTTTAATGGGCTTCTTGGCCATCTGTATGTCTTCTTTGGAGAAATGTCTATTTAGGTCTTCTGCCCATTTTTGGATTGGGTTGTTTGTTTTTTTAATATTGAGCTGCATGAGCTGTTTATATATTTTGGAGATTAATCCTTTGTTGATTCATTTGCAAATATTTTCTCCCATTCTGAGGGTTGTGTTTTGGTCTTGTTTATGGTTTCCTTTGCTGTGCAGAAGGTTTTAAGTTTCATTAGGTCCCATTTGTTTATTTTTGTTTTTATTTCCATTACTCTGGGAGGCAGTCAAAAAAGATCTTGCTGTTGTTTACGTCAAAGAGTGTTCTTCCTGTTTTCCTCTTAAGAGTTTTACAGTGTCTGGTCTTACATTTAGGTCTCTCATCCTTTTTTTTTTTTTTTTTTTTTTTGCGGCACGCGGGCCTCTCACTGCTGTGGCCTCTCCCGCTGCAGAGCAACAGGCTCCGGACATGCAGGCTCAGCGGCCATGGACCACAGGTGCAGCCGCTCCACGGCATGTGGTATCCTCCCAGACCGGGGCACGAATCCATGTCCCCTGCATCAGCAGGCGGACCCTCAACCACTGCGCCACCAGGGAAGCCCCTCTCATCCATTTTGAGTTTATTTTTGTGTATGGTGTTAGGGAGTGTTCTAATTTCATTCTTTTACATGTAGCTGTCCAGTTTTCCCAGCACCACTTATTGAAGAGACTGTCTTTTCTCCATTGTATATCCTTGCTTCCTTTGTCATAGATTAGTTGACCGTAGGTGCATGGGTTTATCTCTGGGCTTTCTATCTTGTTCCATTGATCTGTATTTCTGTTTTTGTGCCAGTACCATATTGTCTTGATTACTGTAGCTTTGTAGTATAGTCTGAAGTCAGGGAGTCTGATTCCTCCAGCTCCACTTTTTTCCCTCAAGACTGGTTTGGCTACTCGGGGTCTTTTGTGTCTCCATACGAATTTTAAGATTTTTTTGTTATAGTTCTATAAAAAATGCCATTGGTAATTTGATAGGGATTGCATTGAATCTGTAGATTGCTTTGGGTAGTATAGTCATTTTCACAATATTGATTCTTCCAGTCCAAGAACATGGTATATCTCTCCATCTGTTGGTATTATCTTTAAGTTCTTTCATCAGTGTCTTATAGTTTTCTGCATACAAGTCTTTTGTCTCCCTAGTTAGGTTTATTCCTAGGTATTTTATTCTTTTTGTTGCAGTGGTAAATGGGAGTGTATCCTTAATTTCTCTTTCAGATTTTTCATCGTTAGCATATAGGAATGCAAGATATTTCTGTGCATTAATTTTCTATCCTGCACCTTTACCAAATTCATTGATTAGCTCTAGTAGTTTTCTGGTGGCATCTTTAGGATTCTCTGTATGTAGTGTCATGTCATCTGCAAACAGTGAGTTTTACTTCTTCTTTTCCAATTTGTATTCCTTTTATTTCTTTTTCTTCTCTGATGCCATGGGTAGGACTTCCAAAACTATGCTGAATAATAGTAAGAGTGGGCAGCCTTGTCTTGTTCCTGATCTTAGAGGATATGCTTTCAGTTTTTCACTGTTGCAAATGATGTTTGCTGTGGGTTTGTCATATATGGCCTTTATTATGTTGAGATAGGTTCCCTCTGTGCTCACTTTCTGGAGAGTTTTTATCATAAAAGGGTGTTGAATTTTGTCAGAAGCTTTTTCTGCATCTGTTGAGATGATCATATGGTTTTTACTCTTCAATGTGTTAATATGGTGTATCACATTGATTGATTTGCGTATATTGAAGAATCCTTGCATCCCTGGGATAAATCCCACTTGATCATGGTGTTTCATCCTTTTAATGTGTTGTTGGATGATGTTATTTTTGTTGAGGATTTTTGCATCTATATTCATCAGTGATATTGGTCTGTAATTTTCTTTTTTTGTAGTATCTTTGTCTGGTTTTGGTATCAGGGTGATGGTGGCCTCATAGAATGAGTTTGGGAGTGTTCCTTCCTCTGCAATTTTTTGGAAGAGTTTGAGAAGGATGGGTGTTAGCTCTTCTCTAAATTTTTGATAGAATTCACCTGTGAAGCCATCAGCTCCTGGACTTTTGTTTCTTGGAAGATGTTTAATCACAGTTTCAATTTTATTACTTGTGATTGGTCTGTTCATACTTTCTATTTCTTCCTGATTCCATCTTGTGAAGGTTATATACCTTTCTAAGAATTTGTCCATTTCTTCCAGGTTGTCCATATTATTGATATAAAGTTGCTTGTAGTAGTCTCTTAGGATGCTTTGTATTTCTGCAGTGTCTGTTGTAACTTCTCCTTTTTCATTTCTAAGTTTATTGATTTGACTCCTCTCCCTCTTGATGAGTCTGGCTAATGGTTTATTAATTTTGTTTATCTTCTCAAAGAACCAGCTTTTTGTTTTATTGATCTTTGCTATTGTTATCTTTGTTTCGATTTCATTGATTTGTGCTCTGATCTTTATGATTTCTTTCCTTCTGTTAACTTATGGTTTTGTTTGTTCTTTTTTCTCTAGTTCCTTTAGGTGTAAGGTTAGATTGTTTATTGGAGATTTTTCTTGTTTCTTGAGGTAGGCTTGTATAGCTATAAACTTCCCTCTTAGAATTGCTTTTGCTGCATCCCATAGGTGTTGGATCATCGTGTTTTCATTGTCATTTGTCTCTAGGTATATTTTCATTTCTTCTTTGATTTCTTTAGTGATCTCTTGGTTATTTTGTAACATACTGTTTAGCCTCCATGTGATTATGTTTTTTTCCCTGTAACTCATTTCTAGTCTCATAGCTTTGTGGTCAGATAAGACGCTTGATATGATTTCAGTTTTCTTAAATTTACTGAGTCTTGATTTGTGACCCAAGATGTGATCTATCCTGGAGAATGTTCTGTGTGCACTTGAGAAGAAAGTGTAATCTGCTCTTTTTGGATGGAATGTCCTATAAATAACAAATCTATCTGGTCTATTGTGTCATTTAAAGCTTGTGTTTCCTTATTAATTTTCTGTTTGGAAGATCTGTCCGTTGGTGTAAGTGAGGTGTTAAAGTCCCCCACTATTATTGTGTTACTGTCGATTTCCTCTTTTATGGCTGTTACCAGTTGCCTTATGTATTGAGGTACTCCTATGTTGGGTGCATAAGTATTTACAATTGTTATATCTTCTTCTTGGATTGATCCCTTGATCATTATGTAGTGTCCTTCCTTGTCTCTTGCAACATTCTTTATTTTAAAGTCTGTTTTATCTGAGTATTGCTATTCCAGCTTTCTTTTGATTTTCATTTGCATGGAATATCTTTTTATATCCCCTCACTTTTAGTCTGAATGTGTCCCTAGGTCTGAAGTGGGTCCCTTGTAGACAGCATGTGTATGGGTCTTGTTTTTGTATCAATTCAGCAAGCCTGTGTCTTTTGGTTGGAGCATTTAATCCATTGACGTTTAATGTAATTATCAATATGTATGTTCCTAGTACCATTTTCTAAATTGTTTTGGGTTTGTTTTTGTAGGTCCTTTTCTTCTCTGTGTTTCCCACTTACTGAAGTTCCTTTAGCATTTGTTGTAGAGCTGGTTTGGTGGTTAATATTCTTAACTGTGTTTCTTCCACACTATTCCTGGTTTCCACAGCTAGCTTTCCAACAGCTTTTTTCCAAAAATGAAATTTTCTGTCAGAATTCCACATGTAAAGCTAATCAAGACAGGGCTGCTGTGGAGCCTGAAAGCCCAGCCTTCTGGCCTCTCCCCCACATCTAGGCAGCCCCATAACCCCTGCGGGGATGCTTTCACTGACTAGAGTTTGGGAAGTGCTTTTATTGAGGTGAATATGTGCTGAGGAGCAGTAACTTAAAAAAGAAAAGTACTCCAGTCTGGAAACACATGTTCAGAGAGTTGTGTGCATAATAATTAAAGGAGTGACTGTATATTTGTTAATTACTGAAACTAGTGGTCTTTATGATTGTTTAGTTACTCTCTGATACTATTTATTGCATAAAACATATGTGAAAATCTTGTACTCTTTGGCCTATATTCTTATTAAGAGGTCTTATATACAGGGTAACTACTGTGCAAGGTTCATGGTATAATTAATAGTTTAACACATAGTAAGTTTTAATCCCATTAATAAATAGGATTGGAATATGAACTATGTAAGACATTTTCTAAAATCCTGTCTATTATTTTCTCTTTCAGGAGAAGATGATGGTAAGTTAAAAGTCTCATTTTATGTTTGCTTCAAATGTAGAAGAAATGCCTTTAATGATCAAAATTTCATTTTTTCCTGTTTATAATTCAAAAGAAAATATCCTATTTTTTTCAGAAAATAGCTACCAATCAATGGTGACCAAAAAAATAAGAGTGTTTTTTATAATTTAAAGTTACCCTATGTTAGGGACTTCCCTGGTGGCGCAGTGGTTAAGAACCTGCCTGCCAGTGCAGGGGACATGGGTTCGATCCCTGGTCCACGAAGATCCCACGTGCCTTGGAGCAGCTAAGCCTGTGCGCCACAACTATTGAGCCTGTGCTCTAGAGCTCACGAGGCACAACTACTGAAGCCTGCATGCCTGGAGCCCGTGCTCCGCAACAAGAGCAGCCACCGCAGTGAGAAGCCCGTGCACTGCAACAAAGAGTAGCCCCCGCTCGCCGCAACTAGGGAAAGCACACGCGCAGCAACAAAGACCCAACACAGTCAAAAATAAATAAATAAATAAATTTATTTATTTAAAAAAATAAATAACGTTAACCGATGTGTCAAGGGCACTGTGATGGGCATTGTAAAGGTTAGAAAGATGTATAAAACCTGCCTTCCCTCTAGGAGCTAAAAATATGTATAGTAGGAATGATCAGCACTGTACATAAATGATAATAAAGAAGTATTACATACATAGTACAGCAGTAGGTGGTGTAGCTCTTCAGAGGTAGAACAGATCCTGCCTCACTGGGAAAATTTACTGGAGGAGGTGGCATTTGAGATGGACTTGAATGATGGAGTGATTTAAAGCCTGTAGAATTGGATAGTGTATGCTACTTGGATGACAGCATGGACCAAGGGGTTGAGAAAGGAAAAACAAGGCATGTTTGGGGAGAGTAGGAAAGACTTCATGTATGGGGTAATTTAAATTTAGAAAGATGAGTAGAGGCCAGATTATTGAGGACCTTAGGAGCTAGACTTTTCCTGTTAGCAGCTGGGGCTTTTTGAGTAAACAAGTGAGATAATGAATGATGTTTTTTGTAAGAGTATCATCTAAGTAAGAGTATGTTGAATGAATGATTCTCTAGGAAGATATTTGTGTTGTTTTGCTAAGGGTGAAGACTCAGGAGGCAAAGTAATTCCCCACCATCTAATTTTTTCCCTGGATTCCTTGCTCAACTCACCTATGTGTTGAGTTTTTATCATCATGCTTTGCTTTTTGCAATTAAAATAAGGATGAGTAACTTAGGAAGTATATTAACTGTTTTTATCTTTATTGACTGCCATTTTTCTTTTCACTCAGAACAGTATTAGGCTAGAAATAGTTCTTTTAGCATAGTACACAAGGAAGGCCCCTTCATATTCTGGTCATTAACTTTTCTGAAGAATTATTTTGAAAATTTAGGGAACTTTTTTATTATCTCTTAAAACTTAGTAGTTTTAGATAATTGAGGAAATATACTTAGGTTTATTGCTCAGGAAAAATGGAATTAATAATTTGATTTTCATATTAATTATAATTCACTTTTTTCTGGAAGTTTTGAATAATGCTATGGTTGTCATCAAAAGCAAATTTAAGATTGTTTTTCCTCATACTTATGGATATTTAAGCCTTCAAGTGAATAAGGTTTACATAATATTTTGACTGGAAGTTTTCTCAAAAATTTTACAAGTCAAAATGTCATTTATAAGAACTTTTTCCCAAAACTACTTCAGTAACTTTTGGACTTTGTTTTCTAGAACCATATGCCTGTTTTTCCATTACACATGAGCAGTGGACGTATTCCTTAATCTGTCATGAGAAATATTTTATAGACTTAATTTATTCTTATTTATGAATGACCATTTAAACATTTTAACCCAATTCTGTGTGTGTGTATAATTTTGATTGTTTTTGTTTTGTTTTTTTAGGAGAATCATTCTACACGTGGCTAGAAGGTAAATTTAATGTCTGCATTTTAAATTTATTGGCATCTTGCAAAAAATGAATTGATTTATTTAATATATACTTGTAAGTTTTAGGATTCATTAAATCTTGACAGTGTTTGAAAGAAACTAACATGTTTTAGGTTATTATAGTTTAGGATAAAATTATTTGAAAATTTTGAGGATATTGGTCAGCTAAAAACCAGTGTTATGGAGATATACAGGGCAGATGTGGTCATCAGCATTCCAGAACTGGTTCCCAGTCTTACTTCCATTCTGTATGTAATACTTATCCAAACTACTTTTCTAGTAACCACTATGCAAGTCTGTTTTTTTAAGTAGAGGCATTCTTTTTGGAAGGAAGTACTTTTTTTTTAATATATGAAATTAAGGGAAGATGAATTGGAATTCAGAAAGTTTTCAACACGTTTACACATATAGTCTAAACTTGTCTAACTAAAGGATAAAGTAATATAGATCCCAATATATCATATACCTTCCCATTCTTATATTTTCTAGTGTTGAAATTATGAAATGTTATTAATGGAAAGCTGAAACATTCTAGGATTTTAACAACTTTGGTTAATAATTGGATATATACTGCTTTTAAAAAACTTACCAAATTGCTATTAATTTATGAAACCAAAAGTTCAAATATATTAATGAAAGATAAGCAAGTTGAATGACACTGGAAAATGGATATTTCATAGCCATAACCTGATAGGAACTCTACTGAGTTAAACTAAGCACTTAATTCCATTTTATCTTTGTTAATCAGTCGTGTTAACTTATGAACATGATTTCTCTTTGTTTTTTAATGAACTTATTTATTTTTTTTGGGGGGGGCTGTGTTGGGCCTTCGTCGCTGCACACGGGCTTTCTCTAGTTGTGGCTCGCACGGGCTACTCTTCGTTGCGGAGCGCGGGCTTCTCATTGTGGTGGCTTCACTTGTGGAGCACGGGCTCTAGGCACGCGGGCTTCAGGTAGTTGTGGCACGTGGGCTCAGTAGTTGTGGCTCGCAGGCTCTAGAGCTCAGGCTCAGTAGTTGTGGCGCCTGGGCTTAGTTGCTCCGTGACATGTGGGCTCTTCCTGGACCAGGGATCGAACCTGTGTGTCCCCCGCATTGGCAGGCAGATTCCTATCTACTGCACCACCAGGGATGCCCAGTGAACTATTTTTGATGTGCAAATACTGCTAGGAATTATATTGATACATGGCCAATGTGGGAAGAGATGGTTATCTTTGTTTAATTAGCTTTATTTTAAGAGCACAAATTGTGAAAAGTAGTATTTAGGTTAAAAGAGGTGGTCAGAGACTCTGCATATTGATAATGGAGGATGAGAATGAAATTTATGGGCAGTATCGGATTCTAGGGTATACTATATCAACCACTCTCCTAGTATCCTATTGATGGGAGTCTCTGAATTTTGCTACACAGTCCAGCGAGCACTCCTATTTATAGGCAACTGGCTCAACTTTTCTGAGATTCAGTTTCCTGATCTGGGGCATGAGAGTGGCGCTAGCCATCCAGCTTACCTACACTGTGAGTGTAGATGATGCCTGTGAAAACTGCTTTGAAAATCACTAAACAATGTACAAATGCCAAATAATAGTGTTACAATATATCTAGCCCTTTTGTGAGAGAAAAAGTTATATATTGGTGTCCTGTAATTCAGTTGATGAAAATGAATTTGAATGAAATTAAATCCAGAAGAGGAAGAGGAGAACCACTTTCTAAATTGAATAGTTGGATTTGCCAGGCATTAGGGCTGGCAGCAGACCGCAGGCGGGGAGCGCCTCTCCAGCACTTTCTGCTAAGAGTGTTGTGTGTCTTCTTGGTGCATTCACTTGGCTCAACTTTTATTATTAAGATTTTGCTTGAAGTTACCTAATTTTCACAGTTTACAGAAGTACATATCTACTCCTTCCTTCCCTCTTACCACCCGTCTCCTTTTAGGTAAGGGGCTTTGTGGGCTTTGCAAATTAGAATTCCCTCCTAGTTTTCATGTTCTCATTTTTAGGCATATGAATTTTCACGAGCTTTGCTTTGCCTATTTTCCGTTCTCTTGTCTTTAGATATTTTACTGCTTAGAGAAGTAGGTTGGAAGGAAGAGGAAGTGAACTTCAAATCTGATCATTTTGGTACTTGATAACAGATCTGATTAAAAGTTTTACTAGAGAAGTTAATACCTAACGTTTTATCAAAGTTATTCGTGTTGTTTATATACCTTGTTACCATAAACATTCAAATTTGGCCATATACTTTTATGAAGAAGCCACAAAATAGAACTGAATTTCTACCTCTTGGTCTCTATCCGTGGTGATGAGAATATTCTAGAAAGAATTCTGAATTAGGGAATGAGATCTCAAAATAATTATTTTTTCCTATTAGAAGCTACTTGCTTCAGAGCCATCTATGGTAGAACATAAAGGGAGAGTAAGTTGAAGATCTAAAAGATCCTGAAAGGATGCAAAGTAAGCCACATACATACTCCTAAAAAATCCTTCAGCCTATAAATGAGATTATTTCTTAGTTTCCACTGTTGAAGCCCTTTTTTCCCCATAGGGAGAGTAAAAAAACCAAAAAGCAAAAAAGACAAAAACTCTGTCGGGTGGTAGGAAAGGGGAAAAGCTAATTGTTCTGCGTCTAGTGTGGATTCTTAAAACTTTTTGCATTTTTATTTATTTTTAAATTTTTCTATAAAGAATATTTTTAAAAATGTTTCTCTTTTTTCATTGTGGTAAAATATACACAGTATAAAATTTACCTTAAGCATTTCAGAATTTATTTAATAGCATTAAGTTCATTCACAATGTGTATTACTCTTATAATAGAAAATATTTTTAAATGGAGGCGGAGGTTGGATAGGATGGCGAAATTATCTTGACCTCTGTTTTGAGCAAAAGGCTGTGTGGCTTAAGAAGGCTACATAAAATAAATTTCCATCATATTCCTGAACTCCATCTTGATATGGTTTTACTCACATAGTAAATAATCACACTTTTTTTTTTTTAATTGGCTGAAACTCCTGGATGTCTGTTTTCCAAGTTTTAGCTCCTTACCTGTGGAACATACAGTTAAGTAGAATTAGAGAATTCCAGGGCAAAGGATTAATAAGAACCACTAAAGAATCTGGAGGAAGTAGAGAAACAGAATTCAGTCCCTTCTTCCTCCACTAACAAGTAGTTTCAAATAAAGAACATCTATAGGGAAGGGAAAAGGAGAAACAGCTGTAGTACGCCAAAGCAGTGACTTTATATCTGCTTCAGTTTAGCCTAAACCACAAAAAATCTGTGCTGTTGCCTTCTGGGTAACATGAGGACTTTTCCAAGTGCATCCATAGTGTTTGGACCTCCAGTAGCCCAGACATTTGTATCTTATTCTGCACTAAGTTATCATACTCAGTTAACTCCATTCTGAAGTCAGAATCTTATTTTATCTTCTAGTGATAGTATCTCAATCTAATTATTTTATATTAGTCCTTGATTTGTTTTTAATGTCCTCGAATCTTAACTTTAAAAATAAGCCTGTGTACCTAATCCTCTTGATTCAGTATTTTTGTTATCTAAATGGATGTGATTTCTTTTTTCAATATTTTTCTGAATAGGTTTGTGTTTGGAGAAAAGAGTCTTCTATAAGCTTATATCGGGACTTCATGCTAGTATCAATTTACATCTATGTGCAAATTATCTTTTGGAAGGTAATCAGATTTTTTTCTATTAGTATAAAAATTGTTGGGGAAAAATACATATTCTCTATAGAGCAAAAATCCTGTTTATTAAGAGTGTATAATATATTTCTCTTTCTCTTTAGAAACCTGGGGTAAACCGACCTGGGGACCTAATATGAAAGAATTCAAACGCCGCTTCGACCCTGTGGAAACCAAGGGAGAAGGCCCAAGAAGGCTAAAGAATCTGTACTTTTTATATTTAATTGAGCTTCGAGCTTTATCAAAGGTGGCCCCTTACTTTGAGCGCTCAATTGTCGATCTTTACACTGGAAATGTAAAAGAGGATGCTGACACAAAAACCCTTCTACTGAATATCTTTAAAGATACAAAGTAAGAATTGAATTGTCAGTGATCTGAAATTCTCCACTCTAGTTGAGTTGAGGTAGTTCTTGAAATATTGATAGAAACTGACTCCTGAAAGTTAGGAAAAGGGAGAATTAGAAATGAGAAGGAAAGTGTTCCATAGAATGGCAGCATTTTAAAAATATTTCTGAAAATGTTGACTGAGAAGCATCTATAAAGCTTTGTTGCATAAACTTTCACACTTGAGAATAGGCTGTATTTTTGTTTGTTTGTTTGTTTGTTTTCGGTACGCGGGCCTCTCACTGTTGTGGCCTCTCCTGTTGCGGAGCACACGCTCCGGACGCGTAGGCTTGGCGGCCACGGCTCACGGGCCCAGCCACTCCACGGCATTTGGGACCTTCCCGGACCGGGGCACGAACCCGTGTTCCCCTGCATCGGCAGGCGGACTCTCAACCACTGCGCCACCAGGGAAGCCTCTAGGCTGTATTTTATTTTATTTTATTTTTTATTTATTTATTTATTTTTTGCTGTACGTGGGCCTCTCACTGCTGTGGCCTCTCCCGCTGCGGAGCACAGGCTCCGGACGCGCAGGCCCAGCGGCCATGGCTCACGGGCCCCGCCGCTCCGCGGCATGTGGGATCTTCCCGGACCGGGGCACGAACCCGTGTCCCCTGCATCGGCAGGCGGACTCTCAACCACTGTGCCACCAGGGAAGCCTCTAGGCTGTATTTTAAATATAACTTTAAATTTTATGTAGTACCAAAATTTAATGCTACTTTAATGTTCTTTCTACTAATTTTGTATTCTTCCAGTTGCTACTTAAATTTAGATGGTAATAGGTGCTAGCATAGGGATAGATTACCTAAGAGGATATTAGCCTTACATTCTACAATATAACCTTTAAAAAAAAATCCTGGGTATATAAAACTGCACTTTACTGATTGTTAAAAATGAGCACAGAGGAGAGCTGGGTTAAGAAATGTCTAAGGTAAAATATGCATTAAATGTTTTTAAATGTTTTAAAATGTTAAGAGTTTTGTACATTTTTTCACAAAACTTGTTTTCAGTTAAATTTTTAGGTTATTTTTGTCACGTAATTTCTCCAAAACATTACACTCCCATAAATTACAAAGCCCTCTTTATCTTGCTTTACTCTTTGATTGAATAGTTTAAACTGTTTGCCCCCTTCCCACGTTACCAAACCTTACACATGAGTAAATTCTGAATTTTAAATGTTTGTAGGGATAGAAAATTCTACCAGAGCTTGAATTTTTCATCTGTAGCTTATAATATTTTCATTTCATTAGGTCCTTTCCCATGCACTTTGACGAGAAATCCATGTTTGCAGGTGACAAAAAGGGGGCCAAATCGTTAAAGGTAAAAAGTTCTTGACTGGGGGACCGGGTGGGGAACAGTTTACTGGTTGTGTTTTAATCCTGTTCATCTAAACTTTCTTTCCCAGTTCACCATCTTGTTGGTCTGATTGGATTTTACTATAAATGATACAAAAAGCTCTTTCTCAATTCCTTTCTCCTTTCTAGTTTGCCCAACTGCTTAGTGAATCCTCAGTCATACCTCTGACTAATGACACCTTTGTAAATGTCTTTTCAAAAGGCATTATTTTGAAAGTTTTCTTACTTTCTTTTCTTTCATTTACTTATTGCTGTTTTGATGCATCTTAAAAAAAATCATGCACTGTTAGCCACTTTGAAGGCAGTAAATAGTATATTTTCTAATGTTTACTTTACAAAATGTTACAGTTTTGAAACTATTATGTTTTTGTCCTAATGGACTAACATATAAGGCAAAAATTACCTGTTGACCTGTGATGTCAGAAGGAGACTATATTTTAGGAACATTATGCAGCTTCATGTTACAAGCACTTGGTTTTCATTTGCTTACAGTAATTAAGGAGTACATTGTACCCTTACAGTGTTCATAAAAGTATTTGAAATTGACTGGCAAATAGTCTCCTACCACAGCTCCACAATTTTTTATATGTGATTCTGAAATCCAAAAAGCTCCAAAAACTTGAACATTTTTCTTATGTTTGGTACAAATTAATTTGTTAGCAAAACCTAACCTGAACTGGTGTAAGGATATTTGTAGTGTTTTTAAAAAATTCTGCTTTGTATGAATACTCTTACATTTTGTTGCAAAAACAATCATGTATTTGCTTACAGGGTGTTGCCATACACTCTGGTGGGGTGTTACATAATATATAGTGTGTGTACTACATTTCTAAAATCTCAAAACTTCTGAATTCTGAAACACATTTGGTCCCGAGATGTTTTAGATGTGGATATGCTACAAGAATGAATACATTAGTAAGAGTTCCTTGGTGTTTCTGAAATGAAGTAATTTAGCCACAACTATATTTTAGTTTTGGAAGGTTGTTTTGTTTTATGGTTGTTTTAGAGGTATATTAGTATTACAGTATTTAACATAATGCTAATTCATTTTTGTAATGCTTCCTATTTTGTTAGTGTTTATACAAATATTATACTTCTGATCAAGACAACTATAATTACGTATCTTTTTATAGATGAGGAAGGTAAGACTGAGAACAGAGTAAGGTTTCACAGCTAGCTTTCAAGTTATAAAATGCTGAAAATTTGGTTTCCTGTTTTTCAAAGGTGTAGAAAGGAGAATATAAGTCCATTTTTCCATCTGCTCCAAAGAACATGCATTACATGAGAATGGAGAGCAAAGGAGTTTTTGTGTTCTATTTATGTTGTCTTTCTTTTGGCCAAGGTATTGATTCCTCCAAACGCTTTAAGTTTTTGGGTGACTCACTCCAGCTCTTTGCAATAAAATGTTTACCTCGGTGCAATAAAATGATTTTTATTTTCTATGTTTGCCCTGTGAAAAAGATGAGGAAACTTCCTCTTAGCTAGTTTTGTCCTCAGAGAAGGTGAGACTGACCTTAGAGTCACAGAAACCCATGCACAGATGCTCACAGGCATCTAACTGTGTGGGAAACTAATACAGCGAAAGTCAAGAATCCAGTAAGCAAGCGTCCCTGGAGAAGCTGCATTAGCAAATGTGGGGGACTGTGAGATCACAGACCCCTTGTATAGCCCTGTGATCATCGGTGCTGATGGGGAGTACATGTTATAAACATGGTGTGGTCCTAAGGAGAGAGATAAGGACACTGATTATTGTTCTAGGACTAGCTTTCTGATTTAGACTCACACAAAACAATGCATCAAAAATAAATGAAATGTAATATAGATGTATTTACCACTGGCTGTACACAGATATCAAATGGAAGCAGCAGTTAAGCTCCTTCAAAGTAAAAACCGTGTATTATTTACTTTGGTGTCCCCTGTAGGGTACATGTTGGTGCTTTGTGTGGAGTGGCCTCTCAATCAAAAGTTTGTTGAATTAATATGTAGAATACATTTTATAAGCTGCCATTAATGTTAGCTGTTTTATGTGCCATGTTGTGCTATACAAATTCAAATACTTCATTGTTGAAAAACACAACTCATTCATTAATAAGCTTTGAAACTTTTATTAAAATTCAGACAAATGCAGTTTAATTTTAAATGTCTGATTAGAATGAACATGTGTTCTGCTTGTTAGGAGGAATTCCGGTTACATTTCAAGAATATATCCCGTATAATGGACTGTGTTGGATGTGACAAATGCAGGTTATGGGGGAAATTACAGGTTTGTGTGTTGTCTTCTGTTTTGAAACTATTACTAACCTTAAATTTCTCCACTGAGAAGTTGAAAGTTTTTACTAAAATGTCCTCATTGTTCATTGAATTAGAAATCCAAAGTGTGGTTTTTCTGTTTTATTTATAAAAACAATTAATATTAGACTCTGTGTGTTATATGTGTATGTATTAGGATGTTTTTCCTATTGTAGGTTGATGATTTTAGTTTTATTGTATCTGTTTCTGTTGGTACAATCTCAGATTCATTTTTGGAGTTGGTGGTTATAAATAGAGTGTATTGGTATTTTATATACCTATATAAAAGGTAAAATATAATTATATAAGAAATTTAATTATCAAATTTTGGTCACTGAATTTGTATCAGTGATCAAAAGGAGGCCCCCTAGTCACAAAATGGGAAAGTTCTGCCCAGCAGGCCCATTTACGTAAATATTTCAGTGTAAAAAGGATTGTGTGATTGTTTTATCTTTTTATGAAGGTGATATTAAGTCATAGAAAGTCAAGAGAGAATTTTTTTAATGGAGGCTACACTGAAATCAGATTTTTCTTTTTCTCTGTTCCTAATAATTGAGAAATTATTAAGTGTAGGTATCACTATACCTATAAACTGATACTGATTTCTAAGTTTTGAATTGTTAGGGGCTATAAAGAATGCTTTCAGAGTTACATATTGAACACTGTAATCCTAATGTGATATTTTCTACGTTAAAAAAAGGCATTGTAGTAATTTGAAATAGTAGGATATGTATCCAAAAAGTGTTAAACTGTTCAGATTTCCTTAACAGCTTAGATAAATTTATCATATGCATAATCTGTGAGGAAGTAGAAACTGTGTTTTACATAGTTGAACATTTTGGTGCAAAGTTCAGTTCATATGAATTTCCTGACTTCTCATCACAGTGACTGAGTATTCCTTTAAACCTTTATAGCAGTTATTATTATATGAATTTAATTAAAAGTTTATCACTATTTTCTTTAGACTCAGGGTTTAGGAACTGCCCTGAAGATATTATTCTCAGAAAAAGAAATCCAAAAGCTTCCGGAGAACAGCCCATCTAAAGGCTTCCAACTCACTCGACAGGAAATAGTTGCTCTTTTAAATGCTTTTGGAAGGTAAGAACTTTTCATAGTGAAGACTTTTGATTCCCCTGCTGGTTTCAATAAACTGCAAAGATCATCTTCTTTGCTAAAGTAGTCTGTTTTGCTTTGTTTTGTTGACAAAGAGGGAGCATTATTGTCATATGGCATCGTACCTGCACTCACAAGCCAGTTTCTCTACTGGTTACAGGAAAAAGTAATAGTTTCAAATTGCCAGCATTTCCCAGTTGGCCTTCTCAATTTTGTGGGGAAATATTCTCCTAATAAAATTCTCTTTAGCTGGTTTTAACTCGTTCAAGTACAATAGCAGGAGTAAGGAGAGTTTGGCTCAGAAGGTGAGGAAAGAAAAAGACATTAAACCTTTCAGCTGCTCTGTGTCTTAATCTGAGGAGGCATTTTTCTTTCACTCATTCTTCCCCCGTTGTTTTCTGTGTACATACATACAGTTTGCTTTTTGTTTATACCACAGATGGTTTCAAAAATAATTTGAATTTGCCTACAGAGATACATGCAGTACCAACTAAGTGAAGAATACAGAAGAGAAGGAAAAGAATCATAGAAAATCAGAGAAAACAATACTATACTGCCCTGGGAAAAAAGGCAAAGTCAAATCAAGGAAGAATTAAAAAAAGAAAGAAAGAAAGAACAAAGTAATAGAGAGATTATAATGTTTTCTTAACATGCATTTTTAAGTTAAAAAGAGGCAGTTAAATTAAAAATAAATTAATTGCCCCTTCCCCATCTTAATAGCAAAGATTTCATCTGTTGTTCCCCTGTATTTAAAGATGACCATGTAGGTTGAGATTTCAAACACAAGATAGACAATAGCATGTCCACTAGTAATGGTGTTTCATGAAAAATTCAGTCCACCCACTTATGAGGCTTTGTAGTAAGATAAAATAGGAGAAGCTGAAATAAATTTAAATTATTTGAAATTTAAATGAAAAAATATTTTAATCAATTTAAACACTTTTAATTGAAGAATAGTTGATGTACAGTATTATGTTACAGGTGTACAGTATAGTGATTCACAGTTTTTAAAGGTTATACTCCTTTTATAGTTATTATAAAATGTTGGCTATATCCCCTGGGTTGTACAATGTATCCTTGTAGCTTATTCTATACATAGTAGTTTGTACCTCTTAACCCCCTATCCCTATTTTGCCTCTCCCCAGTGGTAACCACTAGTTCTCTATATCTGGGAATCTCCTTCTTAAAATGTATTTAAATCCAGATAAAATTAAATTGAGAAAGAAGCAGATGTTAACTTCCTCAAAATTTCTCTGCGTCTCACAAGGAATTATTCACAGATGCAACCCTTCCAGCTGAGTTCTCTAACTAGAGCCTGCTAGTACCTTTTATTGCTCCCTAGAGAGCACTGGACTCAGAATCAGGTCCTGGCGTTCTGGAATCCTGGCCCTGCCATTTACTGGCCGCATGAGCTCAGGTACATCACTCCTTTCTCCCAGTTTGTTTCCTTTCTCTGTATAATGAAGAGGAGTAAAAACCTTTCTCACAGAGTTAACATGAAGATAAAACGAGGTCCTGTGTGACACTTTTAAATCACAAGGCGCTACCTGAAGTCCATGGCAATGGTGGGCGTGGGGATGGTGATTTACAAACACCATTGGATGTTTAGTGCCCCAATATTTTCAGTACTTAAAAAATTATCTTATTGTTTTTATGGCTAGACTAGATGTGAGAAACCTTTCTTTTCTTAAGGGTAATGACACTCAGGGTGGGATGGTTACACAAACAAGGTACAGCCTAATTTAATCTCCCTTTTCCTCCCCATGGAAAACAACAGCCATCTGCTTTTTAAATCTCTTAAAATATTCATCTTTCTTTCCCCCCAATTATTAAAGTAATTCATGGTCATTATAGAAAATCTGGAAAAACATGTGAAAGTGTAATTTAGAAAATAAATTTAAAAATCACTCATAACCCTACCACCTAGGACGATTTCAACATCTGGTGTATTTTTTTAAATTAATTAATTAATTAACTTATGGCTGTGTTGGGTCTTCGTTTCTGTGCGAGGGCTTTCTCTAGTTGTGGCAAGCGGGGGCCACTCTTCATCACGGTGCGCGGGCTTCTCACTATCGCAGCCTCTGTTGTTGTGGAGGACAGGCTCCAGACGTGCAGGCTCAGTAGCTGTGGCTCATGGACCTAGTTGCTCCGCGGCACGTGGGATCCTCCCAGACCAGGGCTCGAACCTGTGTCCCCTGCATTAGCAGGCAGATTCTCAACCACTGCGCCACCAGGGAAGCCCTTGGCCTATTTTTTTTTTTTTTAATGTTGGGGGTAGGAGTTTATTAATTTTATTTATTTATTTTTGCTGTGTTGGGTCTTCGTTTCTGTGCAAGGGCTTTCTCCAGTTGTGGCAAGTGGGGGCCACTCTTCATCGCGGTGCGCGGGCCTCTCACTATCGCGGCCTCTCTTGTTGCGGAGCACAGGCTCCAGACGCGCAGGCTCGGTAGTTGTGGCTCACGGGCCCAGTCGCTCCGGGGCGTGTGGGATCCTCTCAGACCAGGGCTTGAACCCATGTCCCCTGCATTAGCAGGCAGATTCTCAACCACTGTGCCACCAGGGAAGCCCCAGCCTTTGGCCTATTTTTAATGTGTATTTTCCCACTACTTATACGTAAAAAATTTACGTACGTGTGTGTGTGTGTACATATTTACAGAGTTGAAACCATACATTTTGTATGCTTTCTTATCCTGTTTTACTTGGCGTTACATTTAATCATTTCCCAATATTATTAAAATTTTTTTTGTGTTTTTTCTTTTTTATTGAGGTATAATTGACATGCAGCATTGTATTAGTTTCAGGTGTCCAACATAATGACTATTTGTATATGTTGCAAAATGATCACCACAGTAAGTCTAGGTAGCATCCATCACCACATGTAGTTAGAGTTTTTCTTCTTGTGATGAGAACTTTTGAGATTTACTCTTTTAGCAACTTTTAAATACATAAGCACTATTTTTAATATAGGCCAATATTCTGTTACATGGACATACCACAGTTTAGTCATTCTTTTATTTCTTAGTCGAGTTTAACTGTTTCCTTCATATGTATTCTATACATTTCTTACTTTTTCCTTAAAAAATATTACAGTTCTTAATAATTGTTAGTGAGATATGTTCATTGTATCTTCCACCTGATTATTAGTCCATTTAAATAGTAAATGATTTTGGCTGCACTAACACAAAAAATTATTGTGTTACACTTTGGGAGGGTTTGTGCATTCGTTCCTGTTAAGTGAATTGGTAGTTTTCTTGGTCTGACAACCTATATAATACAATTCTGCCTCAATTAGGGCAGCCAGGACAGCAGTGCTTTGTCATGTGATGCTAGTGGGCAGAGACATACAGTGAGCATTGTCTTTGGTTCTGGCCAAGGAAGGCTGGGAAATGTGGTTTCTTTATCTTGAATACTCTGTAAATGTCTTTCCTACACTAACAGCCATTTTCTGATAGTTTCAACATTTATATCAAATGGCTTATTTTCCAGGGAACAAATTTAATATACCTGTTGGCTATTAAAATGTATTTTAGTATCCCTCTAAAAGTACCAGTAAAGCAGTAGGTAAATGCAGGTACACTCTGTGCCTTCCTGTGTCTGTCTTAGAATAATAATAGGGACTGTGGAAAATCTCTCTTGTGTAATAAATTGTGAGGTCTGGAATGCATCTTCACAGAGATTCTGGTCCCATAAAGTGCTGGCGAGTTTGTACTCCCCGCGTAAAAGGTAACCCTACAGTTAATTTGTATGATAACCTTTGAGTTTTCTGACACTCTCCATTCTGTATCTAAATCAGACTTTGAGCATACTTTTTTCATTGTTTTTTTCAGCTGCTGCTCTTTACTAAGCTCTCTTTTCTTTAGTTATGGACCTTGGTTTCTACCGTATCTTCATATGTATTTTGATAGGTTCTTTTAAAAACAGGTACTTTGAGGTACAGCATATGATTTTACACATTTTGTTTAATAATCATAATGCTTTTTCGTAATAAGTAAACACTGTTTCAGCCCTCTAATATTTCTGAGGATTAGAGTAAGAATTCATTTTCTGTTAATCCTACAGCTTGTAAGAATATAAAGAAAATGTTTTTGAGACCATAACGAACATAGATTTTTTTGAGAGGACATATGGTCTTGGGATCTGATGAGCTGGTTAGACCCACCTACTCTACTAGCTGAGCAGCCCTGGGAAAATTACTTGATTTATTTGAGCTTCAGTTTTTCTAAAATGTAATAAACTCAGGGTTAATTTTATCCACCTTGTGGATTTTTTGTTTTTGTTTTTGTTTTTGCGGTACGCGCGGGCCTCTCACTGTTGTGGCCTCTCCCGTTGCGGAGCACAGGCTCCGGACGCGCAGGCTCAGCGGCCATGGCTCACGGGCTCAGCCGCTCCGCGGCACGTGGGATCCTCCCGGACCGGGGCACGAACCCGCGTCCCCTGCATTGGCAGGCGGACTCTCAACCACTGCGCCACCAGGGAAGCCCCTTGTGGAATTTTTTTTAAACAATTAATGAGATTATATCTGTGATGAGCTTAGAACATTGCCTAACCATACTTTAAGCTCTCAATATAAGAAAAGCTATTATTTATTAAGTTCTTAAAGAAATGGGCTCAGTACTGCATTCTACATTATCTTAAGCTATAGAAAGAAAAACATTAGATTTTTATTTTATCAACACTGAATTGTACCTAAGGATAATTGAGCTTATAGAATTTTTTTTTTTATGATTTCCATTCTAGAGTTTTACTTCTGGGTCTGGGCTCAGAAGCATTTCATTCATTTATTCACTCAATAATTTATTGAACACTATAAATATGGGTGGATGGAGGGCACAGGGATTCATCAACAGACAGAATAAATAGAACCTGTACCTTTGTGTTAAAACAAATTAGTGTTTGGGTTAAAACAAATCCGTGTTTGGGGAACAACAAGAAAGAAGCAGATTTGGAGAGTAGTGTGCAAAATGAATTTATAAGGCCAAATGTAAATGATTTGAGATTCTTTATTGTAATGAATTATCATACCACTGTTCCCATCATTAATCTAGAATCTGTTGATAATATGAAGTAACTGGCTTTCTTTGCCCGTTCTAAACCAAGACTAACGAACTACAGCTCTGTTTTGTCAGTCTTTAATAATTATAGCATACACATTTTAAAATGGAAGCTTCACTGCTCAGTGTTGTTTACATCATTTTATTTTCGATTTTGCTTTCAAATTGTAGCCCATATAAGAGCATCAATAATTTGAAATGTGTACACCTCATATTAGCTGTGCTAATATGCTTTTTTTTTCTCTTATAGGCTTTCTACAAGTATAAAAGAGTTACAGAATTTCAAAGTCTTATTACAACACAGTAGGTAATAGAGGCTTTTATATGTCTAATTAGAGACATAAAGTGACTGTGTGAAGCCTTTTTAGTCTTGGACATTTCAGCAGAAGGAGACTAATCTTCAGACTTCAAGAATTCTGAACTCTTAAAGAGAAAATTCAAATGTTCACTTGAATATTTATGCTTCTTAATAGATTATCAGTTAGAGATATTTGTAAAGGAAGTATATACTTTTAAAACATGTAAACTACACTAATTCTGTATTTAATTCCATGTGTTTCCATCTGTTGAATATTCTGCTATTCCATTTGTTTAGAATTGGCTTTGTGCTTATTCTAGTCTTTATTTCCAGCTGTCAAACTTAAATGACTATGTCTCCATCTGAATAATACTGTTAACTAGTCTATTATGGAAACGGAGAGCTAGGGAGCAAATGTTGCTTAGGGCAGGTATCAGTGACAAAAATTTGTCAGTTATTTTTAAATGTATTTTTAGCCTTGCCTAGCTCTGTGTGTCACCTTCTGTAATATGGAAGTGTCAGCATGATCAATGACCCTTTCAATGTATAGTTATAACTTAGAATCCCCAAGGCTTCAGTTTCATTGGTTTTTATTGAAGATTTTAGGTGGTTGTTGTTGTGTTTTGCTTTGGTCTAAAGGACCTGCTTTGGCAAAGGTGAATAAGTAATATCCCCATGCTACCCAGCCAGATTTCATGTGCCTGCAGTGGGCTGGCTCAAGAGGATTCTTTACTTAGAACCTGTAAATCAATTTCTATTGATTGTGTGTTTCTCTGCCCCTTCTCCAATTTTAGAAATTTTTGTTTAAGAAAATAAACCAAAAAAAATCGCATACTTATTTAACAGTTTCCATCTTGATAAAATTTGAATGGAATTGTATGGATTTATAACACCAAATGAAAACATTATATACACAAAACTTACTATTTTAAAGTAAGCATTTTTAAAGGACTTTATTTCAGAATACAGTCTATGCAATGCTCTTTCAATCTGATTTTCTTTGGTAGGGTATTTAAGTAGATAAATTAATTCATATTTTCTCTAAGCTTCCCCTTTCCGCACCTTTTCTTTTTTAGTTCTTTGTATATAAATGGTACTTCATGTGACTTGTACCAACAGATGACTTCATAAGTCCTAAACTGTCATTTTTTAAACCTGGGATTTAAATATCCTTAATATTTAAAATACTGATTATTTAAAAAGGTGTTAGTATATATAATATGATTAATTCGGAAGGTTGCATCTGTGTAGAAGTCATGCGGGTATCAGTCTTTCATGAAGTAAATAAGTGCTCTTAAACCCGTATCTTATCCTGCCAAAGTCTGAATGTGTTCACTGATGATTTTTAGTGACATATTTTAACTCGTATTTAGTTGGCTTATCCCTCTTTTAAAAATACTTAGCCGTCCCTTGGAGGGCTATGGTTTGAGGGAGTAAGATCTCACTATTTAATTATTTTCTTACCCCATTTCTAACCTTTATAGACCTGGAGTTTTCATGTTGTTGTTGATAGTGGTGGTATTTTTTTTAAGTTGAATAAAACAGGCTGACTTGGTTGGAGCCTCCTCTACTTTTTCTTTTCATTTTTAGGGATGGAAGTTATTGTCTGGTGGGAGGGGGGGACCTTCAGGTAAATTTGTCTAAAAAGTGAATAAGTACTCTTTCTGGTAAATTAATAAGAATTATTCTTAGTGTTTTTCAGAGTCTAAGAAAATGTGAATGTTTTGCACTTTGTCTATTATTACTGTAAGTTTAAAAATCTTCTTGGTAGTGTCACGTCATCGTTCCCTCAGTTAAAGATAAAGGCTATTATTTTAGTTCTATTTCCTGGAGAAGATCTTTGGTCATTTTCATTTCTTCTTTCCTTTACTGTGATTTGTTTCAAGATTAGTTACAATTGTGTATTAGAGTGAGTTCTAGGAATTAAAAGATCTAGTTAGGGTAAAAAGTTCTTTTAAAGGTTTTAACAGATCTTTCACTACCAAGAAAATAAACAAATGAAGTATTCTTAAGCTGAAATCTATTTGATTAATTTTATTTTACCATAAATTAGATTGTGGCGGGCAGCCTACATTTTTGTGTATGTGTGTGCTTTTTAAATGAATGTGTATGTGATAGGAATCTTTGTTTTGCGAGCCTGGTGATGTTTTATGGTCCTTGTGATATAAACTTTTTTCCAACTCACATACCTTTTTGTTGTCAAGTGATACTAGAGTACCGACTGCATTGTGAAAATGCTTGCCTGGCAATAATACCTCTTGGCATTTTGTCTTTATCTCATCACCTAATTTAAAAGTCCAACACTTGATAATGTAACTTGACAGAAATGATTGTACCAGCTGATAAAGTAATGAAAAGGAAGAAAAGGAAAATATTCCTTCCTTCAATGGCATGAGTTTATTTTTTTTTCTCAAGTGGCATCTATGTAAGTTAGAAATACTGTATATTAAAACTGGTAAATTTAAATGTTTCTCTTGTGTTGATTCTTAGATTATGAGGAGGATCAGACAATATTAGTAATGGTTTTTACAGTTTTGAAATCTGATAAATCCAGCGTTTTATTTTGACATTTTAACATTGTGAATTACTCAGTACTTATAATCTCTGTACGTATATGAAACACTGTGCCATGTTTTACAGCTTTATCTAGGTGCCACTGTATATAAAAAAAGGACAGCTATTTTGATCTCCGTCAGCATTGCCTTCATCTGGAAATTTGGGAACAGTTCACAGTAAACCTCTCAGCAGTTTGCAAACTGAAGTACCTGCAGGAACCATAGCTATTCACCAAAATACAGACTGTGGGTGCATATGGTACCATGGGAATTATTTGGTAAAACAAAACATAGACACACACCAAATTTACGTGTACTCTATTTTAAGTAACGTCTACAGGCACAGCTTTGATTTTGAACAGAATTCCAAATAATTTGCTGTTGTACCCACCAGATTATAGAAAATGTGAATTAAATGTTTCTGCCATCTTCCTATCTTGTTCTTTTTTTTTTTAACCCCCTTTTAAATGTTTCCGTTTATGAGATGAAAACTTGGTTATAATTTGGGCGAAGGGAGAAACTAAGTAAGTAGTCTGTGGTTGTTTCTTTTTAAAATCATAATTGCACTCATTGGCAGCCACTGTTGAAGGGCTTTGCATGGATTATTTATCTTCTCCGCAACCCTAGCAGGTAAGTACAATTACTTCTCTGTTTTTAAATATGAAAACTGAGGATAAGAGGCTAAGTAACTTATCCATAGTCAGAAGTTCTAGGTTGTGGGACTAGAATTTGAAACTAGAAAGCCTGACTTCTAGTCTCGGCTCAGAAGGTGGTGTATTTGTGTTAGTTTATAAATTGGCTTATTACCATCCAACTAAAAACTGGGGACTTCTGGCATCTTTTGATTGGTATTGAGTCATAAAGCTTTTTAAATATACTTATTTTATTTTTTGAAAAGGTAATAACATTCACATGGTTCAAAAACCAAAAAATATACAAAGCTCTACAGTGGAACGTCGTCTTTCTTGGGCCCAACTTCCCGTACTGGGCATCCTTCCCCTGCCCTCACCATCAGTAACCTCTGCACTTGGTTTCTTGTTTCCGTCCATACATCTTTAAGGCATATACCAATAAATACAAAAAGTCTTATTTTTACTCTCATTTTTACCTTAAGAGTGGCATCATATACATACTGTTTGCTTTTTATTCCCCCGACTTAGGTTTTCTTGGCAGTCTTCCCATGTCAATAGATAGCTTAATCACTTTTTTTTTTAGTAACTGCTTGGTATCCCATTATATGACTATGCAATCGTTTAATTAGCCAATCTCCTATTAATGGGCATTTGGATTGTTTCCAGGCATTGTATTTATGCCATTTTACACATATGTAAATACATACTTGTAAGTCTAAATTCCCCCAAATGGAATTTTTGGGTCAAAGACCATGTGCATTCATAATTTTGAAAGATATTAGAATATTGCTCTCCACAGGGGACGGCTGCCAATTCACATGCTCACCTTCAGTTGAAGGCAGTATCTGCTCCTCCACCAATACCGGTGTTATTAAAAAGCTGGATTTTTGCTCTCCTGATAAGGTGCAAAATTATGTATCTGTATTTTAGCTTGTATTTTTCCTATCATGAATAAGGCTGACTACCTTTAATATGTTCAAGAGCCATATTTCCTTTTGTGTTCATAACTTTTACCCATCTTTCTACTGCACTGTTGACCTTATCAATTTCTAGGAGTGCTTTATTTGAGATGTTCATACTTTGACTGTAATAAGCTGTACTTTTTTTTTTCCAGTCTTTTGACTTTGCTCATGGTGGTTTAGCCATGGAGATTTATTTGTCTTTATGCAGTCTAATTTATTGTTTTAGTGGCTTCCGGACTTCTTGATAGTTAAGAAGGCCCTTTTCACTCCACAGCAATAATTCACCTATATTTTCTTCTAGAACTTTTATGATTTTATTTTTTTAGATCTAAATTTTGACTCCTTGGAGTGTATCCTGGCATAAAGTGCAAGTTAAGGATCCAACCTAATTTTTTCCCAGACGATTACCCAGTTAATCCAGTACCATTTATCGAACAACTCATCTTTTTTCCTCACTAGTTTGAGATGCTATGTGTATCTCATCTAAAATCCTGGGTTCTCTATTTCATGGATCTATTCACTCCTGTACTTGTATGTACCACATTGCTTTAACTACTCAGGGCCTATGTTTTAATACCTGGTACATTGGCCCCCTCTTATCTCCCCTGCCCCCTTTTAAAATTTTAAAATGATTTTTTTAGCTGTTCTTGTTTGTTCCATAGGAGCTTAAAAAAATAAAGTCCTTTAACGTAAGAATCATGCTAAAAACTCTGCCCACCTCAGTGTTTTCTCTGGAGGGTTTTGCCCTTTTAACCACATAATGTGTCACTGTTCTTTTGGTACTTCACCTGATAAAAATCTACTTTTTATTATCTGTTGTGTTAATCATTTCAGTATTCTAGTTGCCAGCGCCCAAACACGTGAGAGCAAAGAGACAGAACGTGAGGTGCCTGTGTAGACAGAATCTCATCTCAGTGCTTCCGTTTAAGACTTAGTTCTCAAATCATTCTTAGAAGCTATCTTGCTATACAATCCTTATTTCCTTTTTTACTCCATTATGGATTCTTTGTCCAAAAGTTGGATGTCTGTCAAAGATTCATAACAAAACAGGGACGGGCCCTTAAATGAGTATT